AGCGGGCACGATGCAACACCCTGGAGGCGAGCTTGAGGGTCTGGGTCATGGTCTGGTTCGGGAGATACAGCACTTGCTAGCATCTTGCCTGCACCCCTATTTAACCCTTGGGGAACGTAGTGGAGACGCCCCCTCTCCAAGCCACTCAGCCAATCCTCTTCCCAGTGGTCCGTGTAGGGATTAGCACCTAGGAACAGTAGGAGGGGCTGAAGCTGCCTATGCAGCTCCCTTGGGTCATGTCGCAATGACCCTCTTGGGAGGGGAGGTCTGCCTCAGTTTCTCCTCCTGGGCTGGTGCCCTAGTCCCATAACCTGAAGATCTCTTCCTGGGAAAGGCTGTTTCGTTAAACTTTGATGACCAAGATATAGTCAGTCCCTGATATTTCCACCACTTCCCCACAGACCAGGCCCCTTAGCCCATTCTCAGGAATTCCCCACCCTTCAGCTCTTCCTGGAAAGGAAGCAAGCAGGCAAGAGGCACAGCCATAGCTGTCCTCATATTCTTGGCTCATCAGGCTGCTCCTTCTCTGTATGAGCAGAATTTTCTTGTATCACATCTCCCCCACCCCCTGTACTGGACACTGGGCAGATGGCAGGTGAGTTAATGGGATAAAATGGGTTATGGAGCCTTCATCTTTGTTCCTTGGGGAGAGCAGTCCTTTTATGTCAGACAGTCAGCCCAGAAATTCTGGAATGGAAGGTCAATATGAAACTAGAGCGGGTCTCCAACCCCATACCCTCACTGGGACTCTTCAGAAACAGTCACAATAAAGGCAGCATAAATCCCCCAGATCAAGTCTTAGGCAGGGAGACGCTGGGAGGAGACACATGACACACACTCTCACCTGCCCTGAGAAACAGCAGCATGGTCATGTGCCCACATATGTTAACTCCAGGACTACAAAGTACACACAGTGGACAGGTGATTTGAACTTAGCAGGCTGTTTAGATGGACACTGGAGAATTGTATTCCTCACTCCAGCTGAGAAGAGATCCCAGAGGGAGAAGGAAGTGCTAAGGCGGAATAAGACCCCAACCCTCCCAAATATCCCTACTGGTTCAAGGTCTTCTGACCTTCCCAGTCAGCTTCTTCTACTTCCTGTTGGCAATGGAGGGGCAGGAAGGTAAGAGGCAAGGGTAGTAGTGAACACTTCTTTGAGAGATTGTTGCCTCAAAGCCCCAGCAGTCTCAGCTGGGAAGGTCCAGGAAGTTGATGTTCTTTCTAGTTCCTGAAGATGGAATCCAGATGAAGCGAGGTAAGCAGCAGTCAGTGACCAGGAGGGGTAGGACTGGGGGTCACCACCTGGAGGGTGGGATCCTGTATTCTTCGGAAGATGGCGGGGAAATTCTTTCCTCCATTGCGTAGAACTTTCTTTCCCTCCTCAGTTGAGGTACCCAAATGTCCCACAATAGGGTCTTCACTCTGGGAGAAGGGTTCAATAAGTCCTTGACCACCCCTGGCCCTGAGACTCCCGTCCCATCCCCCTGGCACTAAGCTGAGTTCAAAGACTATAACAGTCTGGAAAGGGTCTGTATCTTCACAATTTCCCTTTGGCCCCCAACTTACCAGCTCCTCCAGAGGCACACGCTCAAATAGGGGGTGCCCTTCAAAATGGGTACACATCCATTCGTGTAGCTCCAGCACATCAGTTATAGTATATACCAGCCCCTGCACAGGCAAAATCAGGGGGACTGTATGCAAATGAGCAGCAAGATGATGGTCTGCATTCTCACTGAATTCTTTTTATTTATTGATTTTAGAGGTGAAGGGAGTGGGAGAGATAGAAACATCAATGATGAGAGAGAATCAGATTGGCTGCCTCTTTCACGGCCCCTACCGGGGATCAAGCCCACAACCAGGGCATGTGCCCTAGACCAGAATGGAACCCAGCACCCTTCAGTCCTTAGACTGACACTATCCACTGAGCCAAACCGGCTAAGGCCCCACTGAATTCTAAGTAGAAGGTCTCTGAATAGGACACTCACCCAGCCCTTCCTCCCAGTCCCAACTCACCCCAACTCTCAGCACGTAGGCATATTCTGCCAGTAGTGTGGGACTGATGATTCGCCACTTGTGCTTCGTCCGCTTGAAATGTGGGTCAGGGAAGAGGAAGAACATCTTTGCCAGCTGTGAGACAGACAGGCACAAACTGGGTTGTGAGAGCCTGGCCTCCATGTCCCACCTTTCCACCAGCCAAACCCACCAGGGCCCCTCCCCACCTGGCCTTTGTAGAAGAAGTTAGGAAGGTGTTTCATGGCGTTGCTACGGAGACAGGCGATGTTCTGGAAGCCACCTCGAGGGGCTGCTCGGAGAGCTCGAATCCGATCCTGTACATAGTCCGAGACCTTTACCCGGATCTCCAGACCCAGGATCAGTGTGTCTGGGAACAGCGGTGACAGTTCCACTGGTCACAGGAATAGGAATGGAATCATCAACCTCATACTACAAGAACTTCAAAGGAGTCAACACAGGAAAGGAAACGTCAGTCTGAAACTACCAATATCCGGAATGGCAAATGTGGACAGAGAGGTCTATATGGATGGTATTATACTGGAGTAGAGGGCTGGGGAGATATTAAAATTGTCACCAGGACTGGAAGCTGGAGGGCCTGTGAATACATGTATATTTGCAAGTGCTTTAGTATTTTCACACATTCTCTCGTTTAACCCTCTTAGAACTCGGTGGTAATTGTGACTATGAGGAAACGGAGGATAAGAAATGTCCAAGGTCATACGGCTAAGAAGAGACAGAACTGAAACTGGAACCAAAGTTTTCTGCCACCAAGTACCATGCTCTTCCACTTTGTCATGTCATTATCTCTATGGGAAGATCTAAAAATAGACAAGTGGTTTGGCTCAGTGGATACAGCATTGGCCTGGGGACTGAAGGGTCCTGGGTTCGATTCCAGTCCAGGGCACATACCCGGTTGTGGGCTAGATCCCCAGTAGGGGGCGTGCAGGAGACAGTCAATCAATGATTCTCTCTCATCATCGATGTTTCTCTCTCTCCCTTTCTCTCTGAAATCAATAAAAATATGTATTTTTTAAAAATGGAAAAGTAGCTTAGCAAGCATGTGTGGGGGCAATACAAATAATACTAGGGGAACTAAAAAAACAGAGAGTGGAGCAGAAGGAATGAGCTCTGGTGAGGGAGGGGGGAGTGATGGAATCCCTGAGAAAGACAGTTCAGGATCACTGGCCACAGTGGCTAAACTCTGACGCTTGTGCTGACCAGCTCACTGACCCGGCACTTGGCAGGTGAAATGGCTCACGTAGTGACTGGGGCCAGGGACAAGGCCAGACAGGACAACCCAAGTTTTAAGATGCATTTGAGGCAGCCCCCTCCCTTCTCCAGGGCAAAGACCACAGACCCAGAGTGGAGGGAAAGTGGAGACTTTCCACACTGATGTCACAGCACTAGTGTCTGGTCCGAAGGGGAAAGGCCAACTACGGCCCCCACCAAATCTGCTGAGGTGGCAGAATCTAGGCACTGCCTTTCCTTGCCCAGAGAAAGGGCCAGACAGAGTGTTACCTAACAGGCCACCATAGCCACAGCCTATGTCTGCAAATTCCACTTGGGCTTGAGCTCTCTTTTCTTTCTTGTCCTTTGGGTCGTCGTGGCTCTGATTTTGAGTCAGTGGAGCAAAGAATTCTGGATATAACTCAGACCAATCCATCTCCTCTGGCTTCACAGGGCTATTGGAGAGAAGACGTGAGAAACGTGAGAAGGCTGGCCATGGTATTGCAGCAGCATCACCACATGTGCGTGTGTGGATGGGTAAGGGTGGGAAGTAGACGGGAGGGTTTCTAAACAATTCTGTAACAGTGGGTCCTGTGGCTTCTAGGAGATACAGTGGAAACCACCCTGTGAGTCATAGGCCTATCATGAGACCCGCCCATCTCCCTATCTAGGGGTTGATGACTGGCTGGGCACAAGTTCCCCTTCTCTAGGAGACTGGCTTCCTGGAAGCGCTGGGATCTTACTTTGCTTACGTGCTGTGTGTGAAGAGGATGGAGTGAGATGCAGGACGGATTGGGTGTTTGTCTTTTTATTAAATCCGACAAAGGAAACCTTAAGATGTAAAAGGCATTCTGGCCGAAACCGGTTTGGCTCAGTGGATAGAGCGTCGGCCTGCGAACTGAAAGGTCCCGGATTCGATTCCGATCGGGGGCATGTACCTTGGTTGCAGGCATGTCCCCAGTGGGGGGAAGGGAGTGCGAGAGGCAGCTGATCGATGTTTTTAACTCTCTATCCCTCTCTCTTCCTCTCTGTAAAAAAAAAAAAAAAGACATTCTGCCGCCATCCCTCGTCTCAGCAACAATTTCCCCTGCCAGACTGGCACCTGAACCCAGACCTGACCAGAAAGCCACACCCCCTCCAACCCGCACCCCGCCTAATCCACCCTGTCCACCCCCAAAGCTGACGTCACCCAGCCCATCCTCCGGGTCCTCCTTGCACTGTCGCTCTCCGCGGCGGCTCGGGGCCATTCTGAGTCCCACCCCGCCCCCGCCCCGCACACTCACTAGCGCAGCGTGTGGTCCGCCATGGGGTTGGAGTGGGCACGCTGCCGATAGTAGCGCTTCTGCGGCTGCGGGGCCTGGGCTCCGGCCGCGTCCCCAGCCTCGGCTCCCGCCATGATCCCCAGCCGGAGCGTCTCCACTGCACCCACGTGGGGCCGGCGGCGCGCGGTGATGACGTAAAGACACGTCCGCGCAGACACCACCCCTTAAAGGCCCAAGAGACAGCCCCGGGCTTGGCGGGCGGGCGGGCGGGCGGGCGGGCCCGAGGGGATCCGTGCCGCCCGGCGTCTCTGCACCTCCGGTCTGTGACGGGGCGGCGAGTCAGACCCGCACCCGGCCTCCTTCCTTAGCCCGCGTCGGCCTGCTCTGGTTACCACCCCGGTTGCGGGAAGCCGTGCGCCCCGCAGGTAAAAGGGGTCAGGCCCCCCCACGTCTACGGTGGACTTAGTCCTCGCGCCGCCCCCCTGTCCCCGGACCGGACCGCCCGGTCTGACCGGCGTGGTCTGCTCTGCGCCCCGTCGGCTGTGGGCTGGGGACCCGAGTGGGAGGGCTGCTCCTCGTCCCACGTCCAGGAAGTCAAACTGCAGGAGGGAGGGCGAACACAGGAGGCGGGGCCCGGTGCCGCGGGGCCGCCGACGTGGCTGTGTTTTGTGGGAGGTGGGGTTAGGTACCACCACCCCCACCCCGCCACGGGCCGGGGATCCCAGGGCCGGCGACGGCGTCCCCAGCTCTCTGCACCCGATGGCGGACCCCCGTCCCGATCCTGCCTCCGAGCCCGAGGCGGTGTTCCCGCGGGAGGTCGGGCTCTTCGCCGACTCGTACTCGGAGCGGAGCCGCTTCTCCTTCTGCGGGCACGTGCTGAGCATCACGCAGACCTTCGGGTCGCGCCTCGGGGTGGCCGCGCGCGTGTGGGATTCGGTGAGGAGCGGGCGGCGGTGGGCGCGGGCCCGCGGGAGGTCCAGACCCGGACTCTCGCTTTGCCATATGGAGCATTCCCCGCCACAGTCTTTTTTTTCCTCTCTCATAGGCTCTGAGCCTGTGCAACTATTTCGAAAACCACAAGGTGGATTTCCGAGGCAAGAAGGTGATCGAACTGGGCGCGGGGACCGGCATCGTGGGGATCCTGGCAGCGCTGCAGGGTGCGTGAGCTTTGTGGTCCCGAGAGGGCGGGGCGGAGGGAGGGGGGAATTGGAGAGTTGATCTTTTCCTGGATCCTCGGGAGAGGGGAATGGTTTGGGACCAGCCCGTTTTGTGTGGAAGGCAGCTCATTGACTGTCAGAGGGCCCAAGGTGGTTGATTTGGGGGCAGAATATAAAAGCCCTCACGCCTTAATAGAAGGGATTTTTCTACCTTTTTCCTTTTTTGTGATTTCATGGACAAGAGTGTCACTTAAAAGCTCCTTTGGTTAATAGGATCTTAAATGGGTCTTCTGGCAGGATACATATTTGGGGATACCTTGTAGGGAAAGTAACCTGTTGGTATTAAACCTCATGAGTGCTTTATAACTTTACCAATGAGGGGTTTATAAAAAGTTTTTGTTTTGTTTGTTTTTTTTGCTTGAGAGAAAGCTTAAGAATTTCTAAGGGTTAGGGTGTGTTTTGTGGGAGGTGGGGTCGGAATTAGGTACCACAAACTTGGAAGAGGAAAAGGTAAGGAAAACTTTGCTTCACTTTTGTCAAGAACCAGAAACTACAAAGGAGACGGTCCCTTCATTTATAATATGATAGGCAAAAGCTCACACCAAAAACACTCATTTAAAAACATTTATGATGTCATCTCCCTAAAAGTGTAAATTAACATTGAGGGAAGTCTTCCAAGAGGCAGGCCCTCATTCTTCTACTCATTCAACCGACGTGCATTTGGAGTTCTCTCTGTGCCAGTCATGCTAGGTACTGGGATACCAGTACAACAGGTTTCCTCTCCCTGAGGAGCTCATGGTCCGGTTAGGAGGACGGGGAAGAAGTTACAGTACAAGAACTCTGGTGAGGTATGCGCAGAGCCAGTGGCCATACTCTTGTCCCGTCTCCCTGGTGTCCACAGAGAAGCTCTGTTAGACGGGAAGGAGGTGAGCAGCGTGAACACAGCAGGCTCAGAGAGAGCAGGAGTGTCAACAGTAGATTTCCGTGAAGGATGGGTGACTGAGAGATGGGCAGTTATGCTAGCAATGGAGAAAGGCATGTGACATGGTTGGGAACATCTACGTTAACTTGCTCGTAAGCTGGTTTCTCCTCCTTTGACCCTTATTCAGCTGCCAAGTCAGAAATCTGATTGTCATCTTGTCCCTTAGTCTATTCCCTCAATCAACCATGGTCATATGTCCTTAATGCTTACCCCGTTGTCGATTCTTCCACCATCTTTAGTTCAAACTACTGCTATCTCTTCCTTAGATTTTCATTAGAGTTTTTATTTTTTTTTAATTTTTATTTTTTTTACAGAGAAGAAAGGAGAGGGATAGAGAGTTAGGAACATTGATGAGTGAGAATCATCCACCAGCTGCCTCTTGCACACCTCCTACTGGGGATGTGCCCGCAACCCAGGTACATGCCCTTTACCGGAATCGAACCCGGGACCTTTCAGTCCGCAGGCCGATACTCTATCCACTGAGTCAAACCAGTTTCGGCTCAGGTGCATCTTTAAGTGCTACCCTGCTAGTGATTGCACCTCCCTGGTCCACTTATTCACCTCTCCTAAACATCTGATTCTTACCTTCTTGCCCTTCAAACCTCCAAATGCTTCCTTCCCTATCTTCACTCTCAGCTGATGACTTTGTTTCCTATCTCTTCTGGTTGCTTCTGTTTTCTCATAGAAAAAGTCCATATGATCTACTCACCTCACTGCTTCTGGGTCTGTATGTGCTACCTTCTCTCTTGTTGTGTGTGTGTACCATGGATGAATGTTATGCTCTCAGCTAAGGTCAAGCCCTCCACTTGTCAGGAGACACCAAACCTTCTCATCTATTCCAAAATATTGTTCCAACAAACACTGCTTCATCCACCTCTCTCAAGAATTACCAGATTTCCCTTCTCTCTGGTTCAGTGTGTGTGTGTGTGTGTGTGTGTGTGTGTGTGTATAATGTACAAAATATATTGTAATTTCTCCTATTTCAGAAAAATGCTAGATTCTACATATTCCTCCAGGTACTACCCCATTTCTCTCCTATAACAAAATTCCTCAAGACTTAATATTCCCTGTCTGTAGTTCTCCTCTTGCTATTCCTCAATTCATTTTGAAACACCTCTTCATGTCCCATCCATTCCAGGTGCTTTGGTCAAGCTGTGAGTTTCATTCCCAAATCCATGCAGTTAAACACAGGAGTCAGTTATGAGCCCACCTTTCTTAACTTTGCAGCATTTGACTCTTCTTCCTCCTTGAAGCACATCCTTTGGTTTCCAGGGCACTACTCTTCTAGTTTCTGTCTACTTCACTGGTCTTCTTTTCCATTCTCTCTTGTTGGTTCCTTTTCAGCTGACAGTGTGAGTATCCCGGGGCTCAGGAGAAGTGCTGTGAGCCCTTCCCTGTTCTGTCTGCATTCATTCCCAAGCAATCCTATCATGTCATGGCTTCAAATACCCTTTTTATGCGGATGACTTAAATTTAAGGTGTCATCCAGAAACAGACTCAAGATCTTCCTGCCTGCCGAAACCGGTTTGGCTCAGTGGATAGGGCGTCGGCCTGTGGACTTGAAGGGTCCCAGGTTCGATTCCGGTCAAGGGCATGTACCTGGGTTGCGGGCACATCCCCAGTAGGGGGTGTGCAGGAGGCAGCTGGTCAATGTTTCTCTCTCATCGATGTTTCTAGCTCTCTTCCTGTCTGTAAAAAAATCAATAAAATATATTAAAAAAAAAAAAAAAAAAAAAGATCTTCCTGTCCAATCCTTCTCCTGCCATCTTCCTCATCTAAATGAATGGCAATTTGGTCTTCTAGTTGGTCAGGCTAAACATCTCAGTGCCAGGCTCAATTTCTCTCTCTCTCTCTCTCTCTCTCTCTCTCTCTCTCTCTCTCTCTCTCTCTCTCTTTCTCTTTCTTCCTCTCTAGTATTTCATATCTAATCTGTCAGCAAGTTCCGTTGACTGCCTTTAAAATATATTCAGGATCTGACTGCTTGTTAGACATTGCTACTGCCCTGGTTCAAACCATGACCATCATTGCTTCTGACCTTGCCCCTCTGCCATCTTTTCTCACCCCAGCAGCCAGAGTAATCCTTTAAAAACATAACTCAGTATATTTTCTTCTTCCATTTAAAATTATCCATAGCCTCCCACCTCAGCCAGAGTGAAAGCCAAATTTCTTGGTCTCCTGAAAAGGCCGTTTAGGATCCAGCCCCCACTTTCATCTCCCTCACTCTGCTCCAGCCATCAGCACCTCCTGTCTCAAGGTCTTTGCCTTCTGTGGTCCCTCAATTGGTACATTTTAGCTGAGAGATCCATGTGGTTTGCTCCGTCACTTCCATCTTTCTTTGCCCAAATGCATCTCTTCAGTAAGATGCCCCTAACCATCTCATTTAAAATTGCATTCCTTGCCTGTCCCTCAAGCATTTTTTTTTTTAAATATCTTTTATTGATTTTTTTACAAAGAGGAAGGGAGAGGAATAGAGAGCTAGAAAACATCAATGAGAGAGAAACACCGACCAGCTGCCTCCTGCATACCCCCTACTGGGGATGTGCCCACAACCAAGGAACATGCCTTTGACTGGAATCCAACCTGGGACCTTTCAGTCCTCAGACTGACACTCTAGCCACTGAGCCAAACCGGTTTCGGCCCTCAGGCAGTTCTTATTCTCCTTCCCTGCTTGATGTGTCCTTCACTAGAGCACTTATTACCATCTCATGTGGAGTGTATTTTATATTTTGTTGTTTATTTCTTGCCACTAGACTGTAAGCTCCATGAGCAGTGGGATTCTCGATTGGTTTACTGCTGTGTTCCCAGCACTTGGCATATAGGCACATAATAAATATAAATGATGAATGAATTCTAATACATGCTGTTTCTGTAATGGTCATCTTGGTTATGATTAAAGGGTTTTGCAGTACTTAGTGTGTCTCTACCTCTAGGAAGACTGAGGTTTTGTCTTGCTCACCCTGTATCCCCAGAATTTCTATGCTCAATACATATATTTATTGCATGAATGAAGCTTTCTGAGATGCTAGTTTGATTATCTGCACCCCCTACTTCTATATTTAAAACTTATTGCACTGCCCTAGCTGGTTTGGCTCAGTGAATAGAGCGTTGGCCTGCAGACTGAAGGGTCCCAAGTTTGATTCTGGTCAAGGACACATGCCTAGGTTGTGGGCTAGATCTTTAGTAGGGGGCATGCAGGAGGTAGCCGATCAGTGATTCTAATCATTGATGTTTATATCTCTCTCCATCTCCCTCCTCTGAAATTAATAAAAATATGTATTTTTAAAAACGTATTGCCCTTAGGATCAAGCCTGAATCTCCTTAGCATGTCATCATTTTTCTCTTTACTCTCATGTCTTCACACTTTTCTCCTCCCTTCCACTTATCTAAGATCCAGCCTTCCTTGAATACTCCTTGCTCTCTCACCACCAGGCCTTTGTACTCTCAGTTCTCTGTTTGGAAAGTTCCACCTGACTCGTTCTTTAAGGCTCACTGAGGGCACGTCTTCTGGGAAGCTTTCCAGACCTCTGAAGCTGGTCCGAGTCTGTAGGGGGTGGATGCATAGCCCATCTCCAGCTTAGTGCTGCCCAGGCTTCTGCTGACAGATGATTGCTGTGTTTTGAGCAGAGAGGTTGAAGATTAGCTCAGAGAGAATGTTGATGTTGTAGAATGTAGAGTAATGAGAATGGTAAGGCGGAGGTTAGTGCAACTGGAGCCAAAGGGTGGACTTCGGCTGTCAACACATTGTCTTCCAGGCTCTGAGGCCTCTGGGCCTTCTGGGCAGGAGCCGAGACCCCTTTGTCGGCCCCTCTGACTTTCATTTCTCTTCCCTCTCTCTCCCAGGGGGGGATGTTACCATCACTGACCTGCCCCTGGCCCTAGAACAGATCCAGGGCAACGTCCAGGCCAACGTGCCAGCTGGAGCCCGGGCCCAGGTCCGCGCCTTGTCCTGGGGGATTGACCAGCATGTCTTTCCTGGCGACTATGACCTGGTGCTGGGGGCTGACATTGTGTATCGGGAGTCCACCTTCCCACTGCTGCTGGGGACACTCCAACACCTGTGCGGGCCCCAGGGCACCATCTATCTGGCCTCCAAGATGAGAGAGGAGCATGGCACAGAGAGCTTCTTTCAGTACCTCCTGCCCCAGCATTTCCGCCTGGAGCTGGCCCAGCGGGATGAGGATGAGAATGTCAACATCTATAGGGCCAGGCACAGGGAACGAAGACCTGTTTGATGTCATCCTGCTCCTCCGAATCCCTTGTCTTAATGCCATATCTCCAAAGCCAGAAACATAAGGACCAAAAAGGATGGATTTCCCTTGCCTCTCTCTTTCCTCCTTCCCTCTTACTTTCCAGATACACTTGGGCAGGTACAGGGAAGTGCCTGCTGGCTAAGAATCCTAGAGCCCCAGCAGCGCTGGATTAGAGCACAAAGGAAGTTCCTAGCTCTTGTTCTCAGCAAAAGATGATGATGGGAGGGTATCCAGGGTTTTTAGGGAAAGGGGAGGTAAATAAGATGTGAGAACATTGGCTGCAGAGACTGCCACTGATCACATCCAGTCCCACTATTGTCTTTTTATACAGAATATGTGTATTTGCCCAGATTCTACTGGAATTTTTTTTTTTTTTTTTTTTTTTAAAGGGAGAGAAACAGGAGCATTAAAGATCTCTTCTACATCCAAAGAACTCAGCCTTTGGTTGGGGTTCTGGGAAGTAAGAAGCCTCAGATCACCCACTTCTTGCTTCTAGAGATGGTCTGGTGGGACCTTGGCTCTGCCTGGGTCAGGCCCTCCCAGGCCTGAAGCTGGGGACAGGCAGCAGAGCTGTCCTTTGGCCTGTGCCTTCTTCCTTCTTTTTGGAGTCGGAGTCCTGATCACGAAGTACTTGGTTCTTCTCTATTTTTCTTAAGGTGTCTAAGCCCTCTCAGTCCTTCCTTCCTAATGTGTTTTGCCTTCATCTCTTTTCTCTTCCCACTGTGGTGACTCTGGTTGGGGCTATCCTTACTCCTTGGGCCACATATCACTTCCTCTGTCTGGCCTCCAACTTTTCCAAAATCAACCCTGTTTTGCTTCTGCTACTGCCTACAGAAGCAAGAATAAGCTCCTCTGCTTGGTGCTCAGTCTATCCTGTGTAATCCTAAATCACCCTCTATTTCATTTCCTGCTGGTTCCCAAATGTATTGCAACCTTGGACCAAAAGTCTATTCTTTGTTCCCTGAATCCACACCAAGCTTCTCTGACTTCATCTCTTTGGTGATTCCTTCCCTGGAAGGGCTAGTTCTAGCTGTCAAAATCTTCACTACTATTCACTACAAAATCTTTACCTCTATTCTGGGGGGGTGGGGGGGGGCGGGGGGAGACAAAAAACTTTTTCAGAGCCTGTTTGGATGTGATTTCTTTCTCCTTTGACACCCTTGAACTGTTTATTTTATGAGACTTACCTTGTCTTGTGTCTGCTCTCTATTTTCTCACCATTACATAGATTACTTGGGAGGGTAGGGCTGTAGTTTATTACCTCTAATTCCCTGAAGCCTATCATTGTTCCTGGCACATTTTATTTATTTAGTGTTCAATAAGTATTTTGCTCATTCAACAAATACTTATTGAGTTTGTTGAAGAGACCATGCCCCTGCCTTTCCCAGGTGACCGCTGGCAAATTTCTGAACCCAACCACCTAACTCCTAATTTTGTCTTGATTCATAAATGGATAATAAATATGAAAGAGCATTGGAAATAAAGAAACAAATTGTTACCACGTGTCTTGTATTGTTATTTTGGGACGACTTTGTCTCACGGTTTCCTATTTCACTTGGGGGGTAGCAATTCCGTTCTCAGTAAGCCCAGAGGGGGAGGCAAGTGTGCGCCCTCCGGCCAGCAGGTGGCGGCATCCCCGTTCGGCACATCCCGGCGGAGAGGTTTGGCCCTGCCGCCGCGCCGTAGGCCTGTGGCCTCACCAGTGCGCCAGCCCCCCGGGAGCGTGCGGCGGCCGGAGAGATGTCGCTGCTGCGGTCAATGCGTGTCTGTCTGGTCGCGCGGACCGGGAGCTGCCCGGTGAGGGGTCTCGGCCCCCGCACCGACCTGCTTTCCTTGCGGGTCTCCCGGGTACCCAACTGCCAACCCCTTTTCAGACTCCACCCCAACCTTTCCCCACCTCCTCGCCTCTTGGTCCGGCTTCCGCACGCTGCCGTCTCCCATCCCCGGGCCCCACCCCTTCTTCAGGTCACCTCGCTGCGGGCATGCTTTCGGTCCCCGGAACACCTCGCTGAGTTCTACTCCTCATCCCTTTTTCTCGCCTCCTCCAGGCAGGGCCCCTTCCGCTGCAGTCGCCTCAGCCATGGCACGCCTTTCACGCAGGGCACTGGCTGTCCTCGGCCTCCAGCAAGGAGCTCCTCATGAAGTTGCGGCGGAAAACGGGCTATTCTTTTGTGAACTGCAAGAAAGCGCTGGAGACTTGCGGCGGGGACCTCAAACAGGTGTGCGGGGGCGGGGCAGGGCACCGGGAGGGGCACTGGGCGCATCTCCGTCTCTTAGGGAGGTCGGACTTCTGTCCAGTGTCTCCTAACGCCGACCTCTAGGTAGATTTGACTTAAATGACAGCCTCAGCCGTTGACTCAGTCCTATTAGCAATTGATCATGATCCCAGGCTTAACAAACCTTACACTTGCAAAACGGCATTGCTGTTTGCTGCTGCTGAAAGTTGCAAGGGCTTGCGTGAGCTTTGGAGTCAGATGCACCCACACGCTACCCCTGTGACCTTGGGCATCTCAGTCTTTCAGAGTGGCATCGTTCTTGTAAATATAGTGACAGTATTACTATCTGCCCCATAGGGGTGTGGTGAGGGCTAAGTTTATCCAACGCACCAGGCACAATGCTGGTGTTTGGCATGTAGCCAAAAGGCTGCCATAGATTACTTCAGTTTCTCTTACGGATTGAAGGGAAGCAGGAAGAGTCAGGGGACCTGGACATAGTTTAGAGCCTGGTTTAGTTCTAAATTCTGTGACTTTGTCATCTGCCCTTTTCCTTTCCAATTTGTAGGCGGAGAGCTGGCTTCATGAGAAGGCCCAGAAGGAGGGCTGGAGCAAAGCTGCCAAGCTCCATGGGAGGAAGACCAAAGAAGGTCTGATTGGGCTGCTGCAGGAAGGAAACTCCACCGTCTTAGTTGAGGTGAGATGTCCAGAATTCCAAATACCAGGAACAGCTGCCCCTTCAGTGTACGGCTCTGTGGTAGACTGTTGGCATTCTGAAAAAATAGGTGTTTGAGAGCCGTAAAGGGTAGTTGAATGAAATCCATGGGACCACAGTTATAGCTGTATATTCATTTAAGTATAGAAATGCACAGGTGTGTTGATGAGAAAAGGCCTAGCAGTCTAGAGTATTACTCCTAAATGCCACTTCATTTATTTCATTAACATTTTTTTAAAAAAATATATATTTTATTGATTTTTTACAGAGAGGAAGGGAGAGAGATAGAGAGCTAGAAACGTCGACGAGAGAGAAACATCGACCAGCTGCCTCCTGCACACCCCCTACTGGGGATGTGCCCGCAAGCAACGTACATGCCCCTGTCCGGAATCGAACCTGGGACCTTTCAGTCCGCAGACCGACGCTCTACCACTGAGCCAAACCAGTTTCGGCTATTTCATTAACTTTGTTGAGGGGACTGGCAAATTTCTGGGTTCCAAAATTTGCCAGAGGTCACCTGGGAAAGATAGGGGCATGGTCCCTTATACCTGTAGCCTTATACCTTATCACTGATTGTTTCCTGGAACAGTTTGATTTTAAAGCTAGGAATTATATTAATTAGTTGATGGATAGAGAGTAGCTGTTTTAGAATTTGGGGGCCACAATTAATGAAGAATCAGATTTGGATCAGAGTGGGATTAGAGTTTAGAGTGAGAGAAGGAGATAAATAAGCTGATAACAAAACTGGTTTGTAGTTGGAGGAGGCTGGAGAATCAGTTGATTAAGGAATGGAGTTTGGCATGCTGGTGTTTGGCATGTAGCCATAGGCTGCCATACTTCAGTTTCTCTTATGGGATTGAAGGGAATTGAGTCTTTTGGGGACATTGTGGACCATCTTCTGAATGTTCAAGTCATTGCTAAGAGATGCTGCGGGAATCACTTATTCAGCTTTTGTCCTCAGCTAGGAGAGGAACTGCAGATTTAAAGTTCTGGGTTCATTTGTTTCTGCTTTGTTCTACAGATTGTTCTGTCAATACCTTGGTTTACTCTCAACCCGAAGGCAATTTTGGAAACTATAAGTAACTAGCTTACACAGCAACATCAATTTGTTCCTACAGGTAAACTGTGAGACAGATTTTGTTGCAAGAAACCTAAAATTTCAACAATTGGTCCAGCAAGTGGCCCTCGGAACCATGTTGCATTGTCAGAGCCTAAAGGACCAACTTTCCACTTACAGTAAAGTGAGTTTTGGGGTCTCCAATGTGTTGTCTCTAACATGCTGGATTGTTCCACTCTGCCTCCCCTTTTTGGAGTCTTTGTTGTTTACTTTTTCAGGCAGTCTCATGTCTCCCTTCTTGTCTCTGCTTAAATGTTATCTCTTTGGAGAGGAGTACCCTTTCTCCTGTGGCTCTGTCCACTTCACTTATTTCGTTAACATTTTTTGTTACAGTGCTTATGTATTACATTTTTATTTACTTGTGTGTGCCTGTCTTTCCCAACAGAACACAAGCTTCGAGAGGCAGGGGATTTGTCTTTTCACTGCTATGTCTCTGGTGAAAGAGAGGAGGGCCCAGACTTACTGAGGCTCAGTAAATCTGTATGAAATGAATGAATGAATGCCAGTGGGTGCAGTCAGTCAGGTCAGGTATTCAGAAATCTGACCTGAGGAAAGGATTTAAAAAATATATATTTTGTTGATTTTTTACAAAGGAAGAGAGAGGGATAGGGAGTTAGAAACATCGATGAGAGAGAAACATCGATCAGCTGGGATGTGCCCGCAACTAAGGTACATGCTCTTGACCGGAATCGAACCCGGGACCTTTCTGCAGGCCAACACTCTATCCACTGAGCCAAACCGGTTTCGGCAAGGATTCTTAAATAAAGATATTGGAGCTTTGGCCTATGTGGCTCAATGGGTTGGACGTCGACCCATGCACCAAGACAGACATTGGTTATAGGCTCAATTCCTGGTCAGGGCACATGCCTGAGCTTCTTGTCTCGATTCCTAGTAGGGAACGTGCAGGAGGCAGCAGGTTGATGTTCCACTCTCACACCAATGTTTCTGTAAATACTTTCTTTTTCCTTTTTCTTCCTCTCTCTCTAAAAACAACAAAAAAGATATTGGAGAAGGCATAATTTAGAAGAATAAAGTTATTTTTGTTCATAGAAGGATCAAGGAAGAAATGACATATTTGCTTTTGATCCGAGCTTATTTGCCTTTGATTCAAGGCAAAAATAAACCAGCTGCTTGCATAAGTTTTTAAAAATTTAGTACTACAATTTTTCTCTTTCAATTTATCCTTTTCTTGAGATCTCATGGTAAATGCTGATTGTTACTGACATTAAATAGTCACATTATATGGAAAATTGCATTGAGATTATTGTTTAGAATTGTATTGAGTAGATGAATCACTTAAACTATAAATTCTAATCTTGACTTTGCCATTGATTCTATTTGTAACCCTGAGCCATTCACTTACTTTACTGTGTTTCTGTTTCATTAACTGTAATAAGAGACTTTGGTTCCTTTAGCTTGATTTCCTTTTATTATTATCAGTGCAATTTTTAGTTATCATCTGTTCCATTTCCTTTCTTTATCTTTCATTACATTTACTTTTTCTTTTTAAAATATATTTTTATTGATTTCAGAGAGAAAGGGAGAGAGAGAGAGAGAAACATCCGTCATGAGAGAGAATTGATTGACTTCCTTCTGCATGTCCCACACTGGGGATCGAGCCGCAACCTGGGCATATGCTCTGACAGAGAATCGAACTGTGACCTCCTGGTTCATGGGTCAACAGTCAACCACTGAGCCGCATCAGCCAGACTACACTGACGTTTTTGAAGAGTACAGGACAGTTTTGTAGAATGTCCTTTATTTGGGTTTGATGTTTTCTTACTTAGACTCACAATATGGATTTTTGTAAGAATAGGAAACAAATCATCCTGCATTTTCCTCAGAACATCACCCTAGGAGGTACATAGTAACTGTTGGTCCCATTCTTTATGCTACAATAATTTTGATTTCTCAGTTAAGGTAGTTTTTGCTAGATTTCTCCACTGTGGGTGACCATGTTCCTCTTTGTAATTAACAACTTATCTCTATGGGAGATTCCTTGAGACTGTATAAACATCCACCTTCCAAAAAACTTTTGCCTAGCCTGTGGTTGAGCATTGACCTCTGAACCAGGAAATCACGGTTTGATTTCTGATAGGGGCACATGCCCAGATTGTGGGCTCAATCTCCAGTGTGGGGCATAGAGGAGGTAGCCAATCAATGATTCCCTGTTGTCATTGATGTTTCTGTCTCCCTACCCTTCTCCCTCCATCTCTGAAATAAATAAAAATGTATTTAAACCAATAACACACACAAATAACTTTTGTCTAATAGTTTTAGCATCCATTGATGATACTTGGCAGATCAGTTATTATTACCGTGTTTCCCCAAAAATAAGACATACTCCAAAAATAAGACTTAGCGCATGGAAAGATAAGACATCCCCTGAAAATAAGACCTAGTGCAACTTTGGGAGAAAAAATTAATATAAGACACTGCCTTATTTTCAGGGAAACAGGGTATGATGTTGCATGAGGGTAATTTTTTTTAACTCATAATTTGTTTTATATATATTAATTTTGTTAGTGGGCATTCTACTGTAAGAAACTTCTCCCTTTGTTTAGTACAACATTGATTCACAGATTCTTACTTTATACAGCAAGCTACAATCATTATATAATTATTTATTTATACACTAGAGGCCCAGTGCATGAAGCTTCATGCAAGAATGGGCCTTCCTTCCCCTGGTTGCTGGAGCCTCCTTTCAGTCTTCCCACGTTGCCCAGAGGCCTGGAGTGGCTGGGTTGGTGCGGAATGCCTGCGTTGTTGCCCCGCCCCGGCCACTTGGCACCTGTGTATGCAATTTAACCGCAATCTTTGTTGGGTTGATTTGCATATTCAGTCCTGATTGGCTGGTGGGTGTTGCAAAGGTACGGTCAATTAGCTTGTTACTCTTTTATTAAGTAGATTTATTTTTGATGGATTCCGTGCCTGCTAACTCATTTCAGATCTCTCAGTGGTTCCACAGTAAGGAAATCTGTTAAATCTAGCATTTCCCAAGCATCTTTGATTGTAGCAATTATTAACATCCAATCAAATATGAAGATCTATAATTACAAAAACATTGTCCTGCTGTTATGGTTCCATCACTTAGCTAGAAATTTGCTTAGTGTTATTTACCTCTCACTAAAAAGGGAAAGAAAAAAAAAGGCAACAGAAAATATTCCTGCTTTGTTTAGACTTTGGAAAAGTTTGAATAGCACTATAAAAATGCTTGGAGGTGAAAATGTTTGAAAGGTTAATAGTCTCAAAAGAATTTGGGTGTCTTGGCATTTGATAGCTGAGTGGGGAGTTCAAAATGTAAATCAAGAGGTGTTTTTTTGTTTTGTTTTTTTAATATATTTTATTGATTTTGTACAGAGAGGAAGGGAGAGAGAGGGAGCTAGAAACATTGATGAGAGAGAGTCATCGATCAGCTGCCTCCTGCACCCCCCCCACTGGGGATATGCCCGCAACCAAGGCACATGCCCTTGACCGGAATCGAACCCGGGACCTTTCAGTCCCCAAGCTGATGCTCTATCCATTGAGCCAAACCGGTCCCGGCTCAAGAGGGTTTTTTAAGCATTATTTATTTTGATGTTCAAATTATTCCTAGACTTGGCCAATGTAAGGCAAACCTGTGCAGGCTGGCTCCATTGTCCTTCAATATATCCTCAGTATTTTATGAGTGTTTCTTTACTTTTTTGGCATTCAAGATATTCTGGACTTACCTGTGTCCTACTTTCCTTGCTTCAAACATGGAATTGTTTACTTCTCTAAGGAATCCTGATCCCTTTTAATGGAGAATAGTTTTGAGAAGCCAAGAGCTAGGTATATTTATTTCTACTGAGATGTCATTGTTGCTCCATTCTTTTAGCAGACAGGACGTGTGTGTGTGTGTGTGTGTGTGTGTGTGTGTGTGTGTGTGTGTGAAGATTAGAATTTACAGTTCAATTCCAGTCCTGCACCACAGTGTTCTTCCTTTTCTTCCCCCATCCTGTCATTTTATCTTCCCTCTCTCATAGTGAGTACATCGGCTCTTAGCAACTTTGATATGTTTACTTATTTACTCGATGTTACAATGCACACCAAGTTGTTCCAGAGTTACTATTACCTGACCACTGCAAATAACAAACTTGCTAAGGAGTTCAAGATTTCTTTGATGTTCTTTTGTCTTTACATTGAAGTTATGTGGTCAAAGAACTGTATTGAAAGTTACTTGGATTATTCACATACACACACACACCTATGAGGTTATGTTGTTCATTTGAAATACAGTTAGAAACTTAGGTTTCCTTTTAGTCAATTTTCATTTTGACTCCAAAACCTTGTTAATTTAATTTTTGAATGTGTAACACATTAACAAGGTTCTGAAAGTTATCTCTCTATCTTTCTCTCTCTCTCTCTCTCTCTCTCTCTCTCTCTCTCTCTCTCTCTCTCTCTCTCTCCCTCCCTCCCTCCCTCCCTCTCCCTCTCCCTCTCCCTCTCTCTCTCTCACACACACACACACACACACACACACATCTTACTGTCTCTTGTCTCCTTTCTACCCCATTTCCTATCCACTCCTATAGATAATGAACTTTATTGATTTATGGTTATCCTTTATGTCTTGTCACAAAAAAAGCATATTTATACAAATACCTCTTACACACCCTGGCTGGTTTGTCTCAGTGGATAGAATGTTGGCCTGTGGGCTGGGACCGGTTTGGCTCAGTGGATGGAGCATCGGCCTGCAGACTGAAGGGTCCCGGGTTCGATTCCGGTCAAGGGCATGTACCTTGGTTGCGGGCACATCCCCTGTGGGGGGTGTGCAAGAGGCGGCTGGTTGATGTTTCTCTCTCATCGACGTTTCTAACTCTCTGTCCCTCTCAATTCCTCTCTGTGTAAAATCAATAAAATAAAAAAAATAAAAAATAAAAAAAAAGAATGTTGGCCTGTGGACTAAGGGTACCGGGTTCGATTCTGGTCAAGGGCACATGCCCGGGTTACAGGCTCGATCCCCAGTAGGGGGTGTGCAGGAAGCAGTCAATTGATGATTCTCTCATCACTGATATTTCTACCTTTCTCTCCTCCTTTCCACTGTGAAATCAATAAAAATATATATTTAAAAAAAGAATTTAAAAAACAACAACAACAAAATACCTTTTATACAACTGGTAGTATAATTTGTATGTACGCTTTAAATTTATTTTTTTCATTTAATATAGCTAGAAATACTCCATAGCAGCTTATGCAGCTCTCCTTTTTTTCTTTTTTCAGTTGCATAGTCTACCATTGTACGGCTGAGCTATGGTTGATTCAACCAGTCTTCTCTTAGGTTTAGGCAGTTAGGCTGTTTCCAGTGTTTTATGATTAGACATAATCGCTCACTGATTATATACACTCATTGTTGGAAGTGTATTGCCAGGGTAAATTCCTAGAAATAGGATTGTATGTTTGTGAGCTTTTGTCCAGTTCTCCTCCTTTGAATTTTTAACATGCATTCAAGCAAACCTTTTTATTTTGTTAATCCTCATCTAAGGATATTTTTCCATTTATTTTTTTTTTTTAGAGAGAGTGAAAGGGAGGGGAGAGATAAAGAGAGAGAAACATCAATGTGAGAGAGACACATTGATTGGTTCTTCCTGCATGCACCCCTACTGGGGCCAGGGATCGAGCTTGCAACTGAGGTTCATACCCTTGACCTGATGGAGCCTCGACTCTTCAGTCTATGGGCCAATGCTCTATCCACTGAGCTGAACTGGCTAGGATTCACAAACCTTTTAAGCTTTAAAACGTTGTGATTGATATGAAAATATTATTCCTGCTATCTGGGAAACTGCATTTTAAGAAGTTAGGCCAGCTCGGCCGGTGTGGCTCAGTTGGTTGAGCTTTGTGCCATGCACCAGCAGGTTTGCGGCTAGACCCCTGGAAGGGGCTGTACAGGAGACAGCCAGCTGATGTTCTGCTCTCACATAGATGTTTCTCTCCCTCTCTAAAAAAGATCTTTTTTAAAAAAGAAAAAGGGCTAGAAGATAGGAGTGGGGTTGAATTGGGGTAATGGAGTGGTGGAATAAAATATTTATAAAACTGGAACTCTGTCAATTTTTAACATCCTTGGCTTAATGAAAATATCATCTATATTTAGTTGTCTTATGTCATTTTCTGAGAAATAAGCTATATTTGCCTGGTTTTTGATAATTTGAGTAGTACAAAACTGATTGATGTTTGTTTTGTGTGTGTGTGTGCACTAGGGCTTCTTGAATTCCTCTGAGCTCTCTGAACTTCCCTTTGGGCCTGAGAGGAAAGGCTCTCTCAAGGATCAGCTGGCCTTAGCAATTGGTGAGTATTTGTAAGGATTCTGGAAGCTAGAAATTAAGAACTGGATCTCTTGGTGTCTTTGGTATTCCTCCAAATCTAGATGAAGAATTACCAGCACGTGTGCCTGAAAGGATCAGATACTATGAACGTGCTCGGTGGATTGTGTTAGACATTAGGGAGCAGTAGGCCTGAGAAGCTCACACTCTTCTGAAAAGAACCATCACCACGCGCTCGCCAGCTGTTAACCCGGGGAAATGGGGTTCCAGTTTCATCAGAATTTTAAAGCTTCTTTAAAAGAATTTAGATTTGAATACAAAAATCTCAGTTTTTATGTGTTTGCAATTAATAAAATTATTTGTAAACTTGAATGCATCATTGTTCTGACAAAACAAGCATGTCTTTAGGCAGAGATGGCCTTGTGACATCTGTTGACTACTCTGGGGAAATAATATATCAAAAGTCATTTCATCTTTATAAAGGGACCCAGGAAAATTTAGGGCCATCATTTTTAGGAATTTGGTTTCTCTTTAAAGATTTTTATTTCTGTTAATTTTAATTTTAATTTTTTTAAAGGTGATTCTTTTTTTTAATATATTTTATTGATTTTTAAAATTTTTATTTTATTGATTTTTTACAGAGAGGAAGGGAGAGAGATAGTTAGAAACATCGATGAGAGAAAATCATCGGTCGGCTGCCTCCCGCACGCCGCCTACTGGGGATGTGCCCGCAACCAAGGTACATGCCCTTGACCGGAATTGAACCTGGGACCTTTGAGTCCGCAGACCAATGCTCTATCACTTAGCCAAACCGGTTTCAGCGGTTTTGGTTTCTCTTTTAAAAACATCGGATCCTGAACTTGTGAAGGTACAGTCTCTCAGAGCCCACGGCTGTAGGAACCAGGTCTGGATCACTGTGGTGGGACTGGTGGGGATTTTACTTTTTTCCTAGGTGTCCTTGATGGTGGGAGGGAAGTAAGGCTGGAGTTAGAGCTTGCTGGGAATTTATTGCTCATCTTACATTTCCAGTCAGGACATCAGTTTCTGTCAGGTTGTCTTGAAGTATGTATAACGTTTCAGTGAGTCATAGATGAGAAGCCAGGCAGACAGCCATTTATGGAGCTAATTAAGAAATTCTGGAAGAACTTAACAGCCTCTTGTTAATTTCTGGGAATTGACTATTGGATTGAATTAACTATTGTGTAAGATTCTTTCTGGTTTCTGGATACTCCCTTTTACGACTTTTAGATATAACTTATGGCTAATTCAGGGATATTTATCCTGACCCCTTTGTTTATTTTTTTACCCCTCCCAACCTTTTGGCTTATTTGGACTTTTCGTAGAGGGTAAAGCATCCTAAGAAAAAGGGGAAAACTGAAATCCATTTTGGTTCTCATAAGGGCCTCTTAAAATGTCATTTTTAAGAAATTTTGTTTTGATGAGAGGAAGTTGAGACTATGAGATGACACAGGGTTTTGGATTTTCTGGGGCTTTTAGGTGTGGACTTTTCCCTGATACAGTGGATAATCCGGAGTTGTCTATGTCAGTTATGGTGGCACTTGGGAGGGGTGGTAATATGGTGGGAAAAAAACACTTAATTGCTTTGGATCTGGGTTTTAATTCCAGTCTGCCATGTATTAACTATGTGACCTTGTGCTGGTAGGTTACTTACTAGTAAGTTGTATAAGCCTATGTTTAAAACAGTAGCCAGCATCTGAGTGCTCACTATGTAATAAGTGCTTTTATATGTATTATTTATTTCTCCCAGTAATCTTGCTTTCAGGTTTTTAAGTGGTATCTCCATTTTATACATGAAACAACTAAGGCTTGATAAATTAGTAAATGGAGTTATATCATTAAGTTACTTTCCTAGGTCATATACCTGGTAAGAGGCAGAACTGAGACCTGAGTCCAGGATCTGTATGACACCATAGCTTATCTTTTAAGTCTTTATTTGTAAATAATGGAGGATTATTATTATGATTTTTTTACAGAGAGGGAGAGGGATAGAGAGTCAGAAACATCAGTGAGAGAGAAACATCCATCAGCTGCCTCCTGCACATCTCCCACTGGGGATGTGCTCACAACCAAGGCACATGCCCCTGACCGGAACGAAACCCAGGACCCCTCAGTCCACAGGCCGACTCTCTATCCACTGAGCCAAACCAGTTTCAACAAGGATATTTTTTCCATTGAATTTTAGAGAGGGAGGGAGAGAGGGAGGGTTGGGGAGAAGAGAGAGAAACATCAATGTGAAAGAGACACATGGATTGGTTGCCTCCCGCACTCACCCCAACTGGAGCTGTGTGTCTTCTTAACCGGAATCGAACCTGAGATCCTTCAGTGTGTAGGCTGATGCTCTAACCATTGGGCAACCGGCCAGTGCATAGCCTATGTTTTCAAATTTAGCCTGCCTGGCACATAGTTGGCGTTCCATAAAGGTATTCTCTGTGTTCCCCACCTCCCTGCACACACCTTTTCCTTTTTAAACTGAAAATGGTAGCTCCCTCTTACAGCATATCCACAGTATAAATGCCAAAGACTGTCTCCCAAATTGGCCATTTCTTTGTGTATTTGGTACTACAATAGGCATCGTATTCTGGAAGCGTGCTTTTTGTTTTTGCTTTTTTATAGGGAAACTGGGAGAAAACATGACTCTTAAACGAGCTGCTTGGGTGAAGGTGCCCAACGGGTTCTATGTTGGCTCCTATGTCCATGGAACCATGCACAGCCCCTCCCTCCACAACCTGGTGCTGGGGAAGTACGGGGCCCTGGTCATCTGCGAGATATCCGAGTGGAAAGCAAACCTGGAAGAACTCGGCCGCCGCCTCGGGCAGCATGTGGTAGGCATGGCCCCTCTCTCTGTTGGCTCCCTGGACGATGAGCCTGGGGGAGAGACAGAAACCAAGATGCTGTCCCAGCCGTACTTGCTGGACCCCTCGATCACGTTGGGACAGTATGTGCAGCCCCAGGGCGTGTCTGTGGTGGACTTTGTGCGGTTCGAATGTGGAGAAGAGGGGGAGGCGGCAGAGGCTGAATAGGCTCCAGAGGCTTTAGGCCCAGGAGGAAACTGGTTCTGGTTCTGGGCTTTATTACAAAAAGCAGTTCTTTCTTAAGCCTCATCAAACCCAGGATTTGTTTTATAATGAAATTATACATCATGAATAAAGTTATTAAATAAAATTGTTACATAATAAAGAGAGTAGAATCTTTTCCTTGTTTGCGTAACGCTGGGTTCAGCTTTTGTGTGTCTTAGAAAACAAGTGGGCCTTATTGAAGTGTCTGACAGTCTCTGGGAAAAGAGGCATCCACGTGCTCCCTTCTTCATAGATTTATAAAGGTGTCCCTAAAACTTCTAACCCATTCTGTCTTACTTGTGTGACATGGAAGTCTCTTGCGATGCTTCGGACTGTGCCTCCATCCTGGAACTCCCCGTTACATGACTCCTGCCACAGGTTCTTTCGGAAATGTTGACTCAAACCGAGAGTTGTCTGGAAATGTGGTTCATTTGTTGATGTCTGTAGTGTGCTTTGAAGGCTCTCTGCAGTGGCATTCACACTGGTTCTGGCCTCATTACTGAAATTAATAACACATGACCCTAGTTTTCTGTTGGATAATGGAGTTTCCTGGACAGCTGTAAGGCAGCTTTTGGCATTCTTGTGCCAAAAACGGGAATCACAGTGGTCCAGTGATCTAGAGAGCTCAACCAACAGTGCCTCTTTACTCTTCTCATCCTGAGACACCTCCCAACAGTACATTAGATAATCACTAGGCTGGCAAAACATAATACTGAAAAGAATTCCCATTTGCTCATATAGGTATCTTTATTTGAAAAGTTAAAAGCTCTGGCACATACAGATCTGGGCATTTGGATTTTGGCTTTGGGATATACATGTAATTAACTTCAATCATTTGTGGGTTAAATAGATTTTGGAAATACCGATCTTAAAATTTGAGACAAACTTAGGTCTCTGCCTTAACATTTAAACACTTTAAACTTAGTTTATCTTGTTTATTACTTTTGGCTTCTCCAGACTTAGGTAGTTTTAGTGCTTTCTGCTGAGGCTTTAGCCAGAAGGCCACAAAAATTAAAAAGTAGGTATATAACAACTAAGGAATGCAGGGGTGAAAAAAAATGGAGAACATGCTGTGATTTGCAGACCCTGTTTTATCTAAATGAAGTGCTGAATGTTAGGCAACAAATGGTAGATAAATTCTTTCCTGATATTGGCACTAGCTGCTCTCTTCTGTGCTCTTGCAGTATGTGTATGCTTCCTTGCTTTAGAAAAGCCCCTTTTCTTTCTTCATTTGGAGCTGTTTCCAGCCAGGCAGAGCAGCAAATTGCCCTCTTGTGATGCCGAACACAGAAACAAAGTCCTGTTCAGAGAGGTAATTCTGAGAAAGAGAAAAAGGTTTCTGGTTAAAAGGAAGCAATATACCTATCAGGGCCAACAGTTTGGGAGAGTAGGGCTAAGAGGGATCGGACCTTGAAGGGGAAGTGGACTGGATTTTAGAAATTTGGTAATAGACTTAAGTTATTCATTGGAGAGTTCTTCAGGTTGTAGATCCCATCTTGGCCAGTGGAAGAACTGATTAGGTTCACTTCTCTTACGGAGTCACCTGGCACCAGCTTCTTGCCAGCAGGACAAGAAATGGGAGCCTGCTTTTCTTTTTTTTTCTTTTTTCTTTTTTTTTTAAATCAATCTTTATTGTTCATATTATTACAAAGGTCCCTCATTTCTTCCCCCCTCCACCAGGTTCCCACCCCACCCTCCGCCCCCTCCCCATCCCCCATTGTCCTCATCCATAGGTGCACAGTTTATGTTCAGTCTCTTCCTCCCTCCCTTTCCCCGATAGTAAATCCCTTTTCAGATAGTAAATCAGTTACTTAGCATTTTCTCATATCAATAATACCACCACATGCCCAATGATACACTTCACACAAAAGACATTTCCAAATAGGTCAACCAGCCTCATCCAGGCCCCACTCAAGGCACTCACAGATCAACACCCCAGCCCTATACTAACTCAACACATCCAGATCTAAGCCTTCATCACTTGATTCAGCAGACCCTCAAGTTCCCGCAAAAGTTTCCAGCCAAGTCAGAGGCAGCCGTGGGGCAGGGGCAGGCGAGGAGCGAGCTGTTCCGGGCCTGGCTGGGAGCCTGCTTTTCTGCTTCCCACACTGCCCAGAGGCCCGGGGCCGCTGGGGTGGTGCCTCTGCCCCGCCCCCAGCCGCTTGGTGCCTGAGTATGCAAATTAACCTGCCATTTTTGTTGAGTTAATTTGCATACTCATTATCTGGTGGGCATCTCCAAGGTACGGTCATTTGCATCTTACTATTTTATTAGTGTAGATGGCCTGTGCTTTTAAGAAAGCTGTAGTCTAGTACTTAGGAATTGGTTAGATAAGATGTCGTGGAAACCTAGAGACTCTTCCCAAATAAAACCCTTCAAGGAGAAGATTAATTCATTCCACATGAGTATGCTAATTCATTTAACCACTACTTAAGAAGTGCCTCCTATTTGTCAGGTACTGTTTTAGGTGGTGAAAAGTGAGAATGGGATGGTGAAGACAGGTAAGGTCCTTGCTCTTAAGGATCTACTGGAAGGGGAGACACAGTAAACAAGCATAAAGGGCCTGGAGGGAGTGAGGGAAGCAGAGTGAGGCAGGATAGTCAGGGAAGCCTTCTTGGGCACGTGACATTGGAGCTGAGACCTAAATAACGAGGCGTGGACTGTTTGTTTTTTTCTGATAAAAGCAATAGCAAGTATAAAGGCTCACAGGCTGGAATGAGCATGTTAAAAGCAGGTCCTGAGAGGATCCAAGATGGCTGCTTGGGTAGACACCTAACCACAGCAGCACACAACAATTTCAATGGAATACAACTAAAAAGTAGAGTGGACATCGCCCAGAGCTACAGGTAGTCGACTGACTGAAAATTCTACAACAAGAAGGAAAGAGAAAACCAGAAGGAAAATCAGAGGAGCTGAAAAAAAGCCTAAGGTACGGAGACATGCTGCGCGCACGCGCGCGGAGAGGTCGCAGCCGGAGAGGAGGAGAGGGCTGGGTGCTGCCTGGCGTTCCATAGCAGGAAGGAAATAGAACCCCCAGCCTGGGCTGAGCCCCCGAACCGGCAGAGCTGAACCCCAGTTATGAGCCAGACCCTGGGGACCCAGGCTCCAGCAGGGGAGACAGGACTATGAGGCGGAACCCCAAGCGAGCAGCGAAAAGCAGGGCCCCCAGAGTTGTGCGCACATTGTGCGCAGAGGACTGAATGTTGACTCTGATGCTGGATTACCCTAGCGGGAAGAAACAAAGCCTCCGGCGGCGCTGAGCCTCAGTCCGGACTGCTCTGAACCCCAGTCCTGGACCAGACCCTGGGGACCCAGGCTCGGGCAGGGGGAGACAGGGCTGTGAGGCGGAATCCCAGGGGAGTGGCGAAAAGCGGAGTCCCCAGAGTCGTGCGCACTGCGCGCAGAGGACAGTCTGTTGACTCTGATCCTAGAATCCCCTAGCGGGAAGGAGGGAAAAAAAAAAGCTCCAGACTGGAGGAATGCGACAGGGAGCAGGAGCCCCTGCCAGACACCAGCCAGCCGGGCACCGGCAGGGAGCCGGGCGACGGGGCCCCCAGGGGCGGGGGGTGCCCCTGAGCCTTCGACCTCTGAGCGTGGGCAACGGAGTCAAGGCCGGGGGCTGCTTCCTGGGCAGCGCCGACCCCGGCAACAGGCTGGAGCAGCGTGGGAGCCCGCGGAGAACAAAGGGGTGCCACAGGCCAACCTGCTGAGCTCCCAGGACAAGGAGGAAGAAACCAAAGTTCTCAATGTGAAGAAATCAAGTGAGAGCAAAAGAGAGTAAAATTACTTAAGAAAGAATACAAAGAAGATCTTGAAAAATCAAAGACTAAGTCAGAACTCAACTCACCAGCCAACATTGCAACATAAATGCGTTTAAAAAAAAAAAAAAAAGGACAGAATGTTGGAACAGCGGCAGCCAGGCCTAGAGTGCCCAGGCACAAAGCAGTGGCAACCGGGCCCAGAGCAGCAATGGCCAGGCCCCAGAGCAGCAGCAGCCAGAACCAGAGCAACAACAGCCAGCACTGGAGCAGCTAGACCTGGGGCAGTGGCAGCCAGGCCTGAGGCGGAGGCGGCCAAGCCCAGGGTGGCCAGTCCAGGAACACCCAGACCCGGAGTGGCCGGGCCCGGAGAAGCCGGGCCCAGAGCAGCTGGGTTGGGAGCAGCCAGGCCCAGAACAGCAGTAGCCAAGCCCGGAGCATCCAGGCTGGGAGCGGCCAGACTTGGAGCGGCCGGGCCCGGGGCAGCTGGGCCCAGAGCAGCCGGGTCTGGTGCAGCCAGGCCCAGAGCAGCAGCTGCCAGGCTGGGAGCGGCCAGGCCCGGAGCAGCCGGGTCTGATGAGGCCAGGCCCGGAGCAGCGGCTGCCAGGCTGGGAGTGGCCAGGCCCGGAGCGGCCGGGCCCGGAGCGGCTGGGCCCAGAGCAGCCGGGTCAGGTGTGGCCAGGCCCGGAGCAGCAGCAGCCAGGTCCAGAGCAACTAGGTCGGGAGCGGCGGTGACCAGACCCGGAGCAGCTGGTTGTGGAATGAACCAGAGCAGCTGGTTGTGGAACGAACCAGAGCAACAGAGGCCAGGCCCGGAACAGCTCGCTCCTCGCCTGCCTCTACCCCACGGCTGCCTCTCAGACATGGCTGGAAACTTTTGTGGGAACTTGAGGGTCTGTTGAATCAAGTGATGAAGGCTTAGATCTGTATGTGTTGAGTTAGTATTGGGCTGGGGTGTTGATCTGTGAGTGCCTTGAGTGGGGCCTGGATGAGGCTGGTTGACCTATTTGGAAATATCTTTTGTGTGAAGTGTATCATTGGGCATGTGGTGGTATTATTGATATGAGAAAATGCTAAGTAACAGATTTACTATCTGAAAAGGGATTTACTATCGGGGAAAGGGAGGGAGGAAGAGACTGAACATAAACTGCACCTATGGATGAGGACAATGGGGGATGGGGAGGGGGTGGAGGGTGGGGTGGGAACCTGGTGGAGGGGGGAAGAAAAGAGGAACCTTTGTAACAATATGAACAATAAAGATTGATTAAAAAAAAGAAGAAGAAAAAAGAAAAGCAGGTCCTGGCGGAAAGGGGCTCAGTGAGGAGGGTCCTGGTGTGTGGGATTAAATCAGAGGGGGCATGGGGCAGATTGGATAGGGCCTTGGATGCCATGGAAAGGACTTTGGTTTCTTCTCTATGTGCAATAGGAAGCCATTCACGTGTTTTAAATAGAACAGGGTCATCTGTTTCAAAAGCCTATTGGTTGTTAGGTGGGGAGCAGATTGTAGGAGCCAGGTGGGGGACTGCTGTAGTAGGCCACACTGGCTGGACCAGACTGGCAGCAGAGAGGTGGAGAGCAGTGGACAGAGGCCAGTTGATGGATTGATGTGGGAGGTGAGAAAAACTTATCAAGAAAGAGCTCTGGAGTCCTAGCTAGTTTGGCTCAGTGAATAGAGCATTGGCCCTCGGACTGAAATGTCCCAGGTTCGATTCAGGTCAAGGGCATCCTTCAGCTCTGATCGGCCTACATGGCAATTGATGTATCTCTCTCACATCGATGTTTCTCTCTTTGTATCTCTCCCCCTCCCGTTCACTCTCTAAAAATCAATGGAAACATATCCTCCGGTGAAGATTAACCAAAAGAAAGGAAGGAAGGAAGAAAGGGAGGGAGGGAGGGAGGGAGGGAGGGAGGAAAAGAAAGAAAGAAAGAAAGAAAGAAAGAAAGAAAGAAAGCAAGCAGCTGGTAGCGAGCAATGGAGTCAGTGGGGATGAATAGTTACTTGTTGGTGTCAGTTGTTTGGTGGTGATGGCTGCGGTGACCAAGAAGGGGACAGGATGGCTGGTGGTGTGTGCATCTCAGGGAGAGCAAGAGTGAGAGGGAGTCGGTGGAGGGGAGGGAGAGAGAGAGAAACATTGATCGGTTGCCCCCAGTGCACATCCCCGACCGGGCTCAAACCCACAACCTAGTTATGTGCCCTGACTGGGAATTTAACCCCCCACCTTTTGGTGTACAGGATGATGCTCCAACCAGCTGAACCACACCAGCCAGCTATTTGCCTAAACTGGAACTTAAGCTGCAGCCATTACTTGTGGATGTGTCTAAAAACCTAAGGACATCAAGTTTGATGTAATTTGTCACAGAAAGCACAGGATATGAGAGTCAACAAAGACAAAGTTGGAGGAAGTATGACAACCAAGAATAGCCTAAGAGACACACTGCTCAGTGAAACAGGATGTCCTGGATAAGATGCTGAAACAAAATGGACATTGGAGAAAAACTGAGGGTATCTGAATAAAGTATATTCTTTGGTTAATAATAATAAAAGAGAGTTTTTGAGTGCTTACAGTGTTCTGGAAGTGCCCGAGGCCGTGTACGGGGACAGGCACTGTACTCCGGGGGAGCTGCAATGCATCAGACTCACCTCCTTCTTGGCAGGGTCCACATCCTCCGGCAGCTCTTGATCCTGATTTTTCAATAGAACGTCGATAGGGTAATATTTTATCTCGGAATTCAGGGAGAGAGTTGTACTCCTCATGTCCTAGGTAAGAGAGATGAAAACGGAGACACGGTAAAAAAAAAACAACTGTTCAGGGCTGTGCAATCGAAGTTCTGTGTGTATAATATTAAAATTTGGGTTTATACCACTTCACTCCTTGTAATTAGCTTTTAGAACAGTTGTCCCCAAACCTGGCTGCATGCCAGAATCATCAGGGAATCCAAACTATTCAGACTTTGGGGTCCTTGGGAAAACTGGTTGAATAAATATAAGGTAAATCCTGTCTAGCCAGTTTGGCATCAGTGCTGTGCTTAAATCTCATTAAATATTGTGATCACATCCCTTCTCTTGGCACTTAACTTAGGCTCTGCATTTCCAGGCTTTAAATGACTTCAGTTGAGGTCATACTTTTCTTAAATACATTTTAAAGATGCCACGTCACCATTAGCTTTGGAATCGTGAGTTTGTAGAGCACAAAGGACATAATTGTCAGTGGGTTTGGACCTCTGGTGCTGTCCAACTCATCCTGATGTTAAATTGCTGTTGGATTCCTGGCAGAGGCTCCACTTCTTTTAGCCATTAAGTAGGGGTAGAGACCTGAATTTCTGTGTATTCCACTGTCAGAAACTGATAGACATATCATCTGGGTTAGAAACTTACTATTTCTGAGAAATGCTGTCAATAAATTTAATCTGTCCTGAATGACAGAATTGATTAATAAAATTAGTTTTTATTGCTTTTTAAAAACAGCAAGCCTGTTCTAAATTCTGGAAGGCGGTAAAATGAGGAACTTGGCTCTGAGACCTGCTTTTCTATTCATTAAAACAACTGTCATATCGGAACAGACGGCTTGAGATCCTAAGAGGACATGCAGGGTTTCACCCATGTGACATCTGTAGCACTCGCTGTTCCTCTTTGACTTTCTCCTCCTCCAAGAAACTCACAGCAGTGATTCTCGTGATGGCAGCAGTGTCTCCCAGCTCTTCCTTTAACTGCTCATAGGATTTCCCTGCCTGAAAGGAAGAGAGAGAAAACAGGGTGAAGTGCTGCATATAAGGATGGCCATCTCAGGCCTAGTCTGTACCCTCAAAAAAAGCAAAAATGAGAGGGAATCCCAAGACATTTCAGGGATGAGCAAAACTGAAAATCCCTTCTAGGCCCATGTAGGATTGGGAGGTATGTAAACATCATATGCATTCTTTGCTGGTGGTCCCTCAATCTCCCTATAAGACTTAAGACAGCAGTTGACTAGGAGTCAGAAAACCTGGTTAATTGTGTCTTTAGACAGATAACTTCTCCTTAAGCTTCTTCATCTGTAACATGGGAAACCATGTTTACCATAGTTGTCAGGATGGTTGTAAAGCTATAAAACAGGTGTGTGGGTATACTTCCTGAATATTACTTCTACACGCTGCTTATTCCTGAAAATAAGCTGTGAATTCTCTAACTGGACTCAGTGCTGTGGAGGGCGGGAAAGAGAAGTAAAAAGCAGGGGACAGGGAGTAAGGAAATGTGGACTTGGATTTACTCAGCCCTTGAGTACCCCACCTTCCCACTGAGCTATTAATGCTGAGCTCCCTGACAGTAAAAACGCCTCCCCATTCTCTCTGCTCTTACACTCCACATGTGAGAGTCCCAGGCCAGGAACCAGCCTGTGAAGATGGGAAGCTCGAACCCCTGCTTGATGATCAGGATCGGTGTGTCAGTGTCTCGGCCGCTAGGGTGAGTGTGCAGGTACTCCTGGGCTGTAGCCAGAGCTCCCTCCTTCTCCATGGCATTGGCCTCAGCCCCAATCCACAAGAACACCTGTTATGGTAGAGATGGACTATTTGTTAATGTGCTCATAGCAAGTACTGTGTACTAGATCATAAACACTGCCCTCTCGTCCCCCACCAGCAAGTCACAGCCTCACAGAGAGCTTTTCTCAGAATCATCTTGATTAGTGATTTTAATTGTCATGTGTATCTCCCATATGTACATTTCCAGGCCTGAGCTCTTTATCTGAACTTCAACTTCCTGAATCCAACTTCTTGCAAAACATCTCCTCTTGGCTGTATTCAAGCACCTCAAATACAACACCCCAAAATGTAGCTCTTTTCTAAACTTGTCTGTGTCTCCGTTCTTGGTGAAAGGTGTCCACTCAGTCATTTTTAAGGCGGTAACCTGGGATTCATCTTACATGCCCCATATCCAGTGAGTTACTAAGGCCAGCCACTTTACCTTCTCTGGATTTATCAAATCTGTCACCATCTCTGCATCTCTACCCATTGCTCCTATATGGGCCACGCGCAGCAGTGCTTCACCAGACTTAATAGACTACTGACCGGCCTCCCCGCATAGTCCTCTTTTGTTCTCACCCCATCCCTCCTCTCCTACGCTTGCTGGAATGCTCTACTTAGAGTGCAGTCCGACCTTGTCACTCACCTGCTTAAATTTCAGTAGCTTTCCAGGATAAAGCTCAGACTTTTTCACATAGTAGGTAAGGTCCATACCTACTTCTTCAGCTGCATCTCTAAGGTGCTCTTTAACTCGATCTTATGTTCTGATAATATTTTTCTTTTGTAGCTCCATGTATACTAGAATGATTCGTGCCTTGCTTTTACTTGTGCTATTTCCTTTGCCTGGAATGCCCTCTTTACCTGATTTAATGCCTACTTATCCTTTGAGATTCAGTTGGGAGCCATCTCCTCCAGGACGTCAGCTCTGAGCTGCTAAATTGTGTGAGTGCCCCTAATGTGTGCTCCCATAGCACCTTTTATGCACCTCCATCATCGAAAAATGATGCTCCCACATCCCCACCCCCATCAGCCTGTGAAATCTCAGAGCAGGAAGGCGCTCTTCACCGTGGTGACGTAACACCTTGCTCCGTGACTGGCACAGAGGAGGTGCCGAGCATGTTTGCTGAGCCAAACGGAAGAAAATGGGATGTCAGGGGAGGTTGGCTTGGAGATACCCCTTTTCCACCCCTTTGTTCCTCAAAGGCCCACGTTGGGTGTGGAGCCTGCTGCTATTGGTCCTGAGAGAAAGAAGTGCCTGATGATAGCATGGCCTGATTTTCCCCAGAGCAAGGTGGGAGAGTTCCCAGGATGGTGAGTTTTAAACAACATTCTGTTCTTTCTAACTCTGGTAAAAAGCAGGCTCTGTTGTTGGTCACCACTGACAGTTGTTTGATTGGCTTGGGGATGGTCCTGGGTTTATGCTGGCAGGGGAGCTACAACATAAAAATGGCTTGAACGGTGAGGATCTCTGTCTTTTGTTCCAAGCACCCTGGCCGTGTCTTACCTGGTCCCAGGTGTCCAGGAGCATCACATCACCTGGGTTCAGGTCATCCTGGGTGAATTCTGTGATCTCGGTGACAATGAACCGGCCAGTCTTATTGGAACATTCAAAGAGACGGGGCTGGACATCCAGGATTTCCTGCTGCAGTCTGCAATATAGTCCGTGTGGAGGAACTGAGCTTAGAAGTCATGTGTGGGTCACAAGCCTGGGAGGCAGAGGGACCCAGGGAGACCCAGGAGGAGCCAAGAGGAGGGCATGCTGTGGCCCCATACCTTTTGTGATTGGCATAGGGAGCTTTCCCTCCCAGCAGGTCCCAGAACGCCGGCGACTCCTGCCCCTCAACCACGGTGTCCTCGGTGCCATCACAGAGGAGCCCGGCCAGCTCCTTAGCCATTGCCCGCTCATCCCCACTGGACCCCTGAGGGCGGGTGCGGAGAACACATGTTAGTTGCCCATGAGCACGATGATGTGGGAAAAAAAGCTTCTGAGGCTAATAGCTTAGTGTAGCTAGGATCAACTACTAAGCCATAGCACTTTGGGACGGGGAATAGGTTTGTTCTAGTGCCGGGAAGGGAGTGGGGTGGGATAGGAAAACACTGGTGGCGAAGAACAGAACTAGACTCTGAAACCCACATGGATGTTGACAAGAGCTACCTTTGTTTTGGTTTCAGTTGGAATCTTACCACCTACTTTTAATATTTTTTAAGAGAGAAATTTAAACATTTTTAAAATTACATATGCAAAAATTCACTTTTTTTTGGCATACGGTTTTATCAGTCTTGACAAATGCATCGAATCAAGTTACCACCACAGCAAAGAATCAGACGGCTGCCTTGGCCCAGCAAAAAAATGCGGCCAGACCATCCCTTTGGATCCACCTCTTCCGATCCTTAACCTCTGGCAGCCCCTGCTCTGCTCTCCGTCACAGTCGTTTTGCCTTTTCCAGGTCATACATGGAACCATACACTGTGTGGCCTTTGAGTCTGGCTTCTTTCACTGAGTGTCACCCCTGTGTGCGGGTGTGACACGCACTCTGTGTGGCTGAGTGTATTCATTCCACTGTATGGAAGTAACACTGTTTATCCTCCTCCAGTGGAGTTGCTTTCGATTTTCGGTGATGGTGAATAGAGGTGCTATGTGCTATAAACATTCGTGTATGGGTTTTTGTGTGAAGACAGTGTTTTATTTCACATGGTTAGATGCCCAGGAGTGGGATCGTTGGATCGTATGACAAGTGTATGTTGTATTATATAAGAAACATCCTCGTCTGCACTTGATATTCTCTATTTTTTTAGTCATTCTAATAAGTGTGTATTCAGGCGTCTTCAAACTACGGCCCTCGGGCCACATGCGGCCCGCAGAGGAGTCTGATCCGGCCCGCCAGGTTTTTTGGGCAGTGAGCGCAGCCGAGGTGTTACGGTAGGAATTAGTAGTTCATATAGTCCGGCCCTCCAGCTCTCTGAGGGACCGTGATCTGGCCCCCACTTTAAAAAGTTTGAGGACCCCTGGCTGTATCTCATTGGGTTTTCACTTCCATTTCCCTAATGACCAGTGATGTTGAGCATCTTTTCCTGTTCGATTCTCTTTTGTAAAACAACTTAGTTCTTTTTAATGCAGATGCAGTCTGAATGGACACTAATCACATTTTCTGTTATTGTTCAGTGGTAATACCTGTCTTATTGTAATCTACCAAATTGGCGTGCAAAGATTGGGCTATTTAGAAGTTTATGGAGTGTCTCCTGGGTCTGGGCAGGACGGTCATTGACTTCCTAAATGGAGGCCTCATAGTGGAGAATGTTGGCAGTCCCTTTGAAGACCCTTCAGGAGAAAGGCTCCTCTTTCTGTGAGCTGTTCAGCCTTGCTGACGGGAGGGTGGGCAGAGGGCTGGTCTGACCACTGGGCCCAGCCATCCTACCTTGCCGTACCACAGGTAGTGCTCTGCCTGGGCCCGCAGCAGAAAGACGTCATTGGAGTTCAGGGAGGAGGCAAAGGCTGGCACCTCCACTGCTTTGGTGTTAGATTTGTCATTTCCTTGAATCTGGAAGAGCCTTACTGGAGGGTCAGGCTCGGCATTGCCCTTCCTGGAAGTCCCACCCTGGAGAAAAGGAGAAAAGCAGAGTCTGGACTTGGGGTGCGCTATTGGAGAACACTGGGCCAGCCGTCGAGAACATTGATGTATTTGACACCATAGCTGCCTCTGAGGAGCTCGTAGGCTAACTGGGAGAGGTGGGGTGACCTGGAGTTATGGTACCAACAATGTTAGCTTCCATCCTGAGACCTCTGTGGGCGGTGCCTTACCTACATCATGTCATTGATCCTCCAGATAACTCCGTGAAGGTTCATCCCATAGTACAGATGGGGAAACCGAGGCTTAGAAACCTAGCTAATAAATGGCAAGACTAGGACTTGAGCACAGACTTGTGTATATGCAGCATGTGCCGTTGTATGTTTTTGGTAGGGCTGCAGCCAGGGCTTCGTGGGAGAAGTAGGACTTGAATCTGAAGGACACATCGGTGGGGAAGGTTGACAGGGAGTGTGATACGGCACATGTGCGGGCCAGTGAGGAGGCCCACCGACCGATGCGTGGAGCGCGTAGGTTAGGGAGTGAGGGCGGCGCAGTCACGGGTGATCTGGGTCAGGTTATGAAAGACCTTGAACGTGAACTAGGCAGTGGTTTGGACTTGAAGGCCTAGGCAGTTGGGATTCACTTCAGTGTTTTAGAGCGATTAACCCCTTCTTGTCCCTGCCTACCCCAAGGCCTGCTCCCCCCACCCCTCTACCGTAGCCCCTGCTTGTTAGTTCGGAGCATTCTGGCTCCTGGTGGAGTAACTATACTGAGGGCTCTCACCTCAAAGATGACCAGCTTTCCTTTGAAGATGGCCATGAAGTGGCGTGGCTCCTTCCCCATGGTGACCCGAACCTGCACCGGGGCCCCATCGAACTTGCGGTCCACCTCCACCGCCCGGAACGCCGAGGCGGCCAGCTCGTCCTGCGAGGCGTGGCGGCCCTGCCGCGGGGACAGGAGAATGGCCGCCGCTGCCCTGGCCCCAGCCTCGTGGGGGGGGAAGCACCATCTCCGAGAGCTGAGAGCCTGCCCCAGGCCTGCCCGCCCCAGGCCTACCTGCCAGATGTACAAGATGTAACGCGGCTTTGCATAGACCTCGAATGTGTAGAGAACCAGGTAGCAGTCTCCTCCATAGAAGAAGCCATACCACTGATGCTCCACGGGGACCAGCTCCAGATTTTCAATTCTCCAGACCTGGGTACAGGAGGAGACAGTTCCCCAGAGATGGGGTGCTATGGGAAGCGACAGCTGCCTGAAGGGAAGGGGCGGTGCTTAGCAGAGAATCCTCACGTTAGGCACTAGCATCTGCCACTCAGAGTCCCCTGCCCCCTCTGGGGCTGCCTTCCCATCGGCGAGGGCTTATCACATTTGCATGATTTGAATCTGGAGGAGAACCGGGTTCTCCCTGGTCAGGCACCTCCTGTCACAGCTCAGGTGATTTGAATAGTTCTGCCAGGTGAGTTACTGATAGCTCACTAGGGTATCTGCCTTTCACTTTCCTGAAGAATTGTGGGGGAAATGCAGACTCAGACATCTCAGAGAGAATACTCCTAGGCACCGGAGATGAAAAGGAAAGCAAATCAGACACAAAACCACCCGCCCTCTCTCTACAGCAGAACAGCCAGGAGGCCAGAGCTGTCTGCCCGTGCTGAGATGGGGACCGTTAGGCTTACCTCGACTTTCCCATCGCCGTCATCCACCATCCTTTCCTGGGCAGCTACCGCTGGTTTGGAGTGCAGCAGCGTCACATCAAATTTATCCTGGGAAACTTGAGCTGCAGAGAAGGGGTTGGGAGAAGCCGAGTGAGTGAAGATCATCCATGCCTGCCATTCTGCAGTCCCAGTAGGAAGACAGTCGGGGGCAGTCTTACCAATTTTACCAACGCTGAACGTTTTCCCCAGGCCCGCGGTCTGCTCCTTCACCGACCACTTCTGGAACAGCTGCTTGAACATGGCTGACTCAGCGCCATCGTTGACGGTCTCCACGTTGGTGCTGCTGGGGTAGCCCTTCATCTTGATGAAGTTCTGTAGATACCCCCCCGCACCCCCCGAAAGGCAGGTCAGTCAGGGAAGGCACCGAGTCCTTTACTGACCGCCATCCGCCCCCTTTGAAGCCAGCTGGTGGGATTGCTATTTGCTCCCTTCTGGGAGTTGGAGTCAAGTTCTAACCCCTTGCTGTCTAGGACAGATGTGCCTCCCTCAGGAAAGGAACATTTTGTCATCTGTTATTGGCCTGTCGTGATGATTATTTTTTCCTGTTCTTTGAACATTCATGTAGAATACTGACTTGGTCTCACATTCATTTGCCCATCTATAGCTCTGTAAGTGCATCCTGCTCGGTTTATCTGTGGCTCTGCACAATATCATAAGCTCCTTGAGGACAGGGCCATTACCCTTGATACGTGCTCTCTGTCCCCGTCAGTAGTAACAGCCGCCTTTTATCGAGCCGGTGTGTGTACCAGGTACTGTTCCGAATGCCTTACAGATGTTATTTAATCCTCACAGCAACCCCAGGGGATGGCATTGAACCTGGATTTGAATCCCACTTTGCCTGACTTTAAGTCCATGTATGAAACTGCAGTGTTCTTTGCTCAAGGGCCTAGTGTGGCTCTCTGAGCACAGCTGAAGTGTTACAACATTTTTTAGACAACGTTGTGCATCTGTAGCTCCTACCAGGGCCTTAGACATGGCCATCTGCTTCTCAGCCTTCGTGGCTCCTCTTCCTTTCCACACGTAGATCTTGGTTCCGCTGTGGTCCAGGATGTAGCAGTCCTGAAGCAGCCAGGGACACACGTGGTTACACCTTCCCCAGGGCCTGCCCTGCGGCCAGGTCTGGCCCCCCCCCCTCAGGCTCTGCTTACATCATGGCTCAGCAGGTCCTGGACCAGAGGCCTCGTCACTACCTCTCTGACCACCAGCTGCCCATCTGAGTCTGAGACGCTGGAGAAAGGGAGAGGTTAGCTTGTGTCTTCTCTTCTGCAAAGCATCTTGTAGTCGTTGGGTATTTTCCTGGCTTTGTTTTAATATGGGTTTTTCTGGGGAGAGTTTGACTTCCTATGACAGGCCTGGCTTGAATGCAGATGGGAATGTGAGGGACTCGGTTCTCTAGTGGAGACTTGTGAATCTCTCTCCAAACATCCCGTCACATCCCTGCGCAGGTATAGACCCAAGTAAAGGAACAGTGTCCCCAAGAGACCAGGAGGAGTTGCTGACAAGGACAGACGGTAGCTGCCTCCTTGAATCGGAACAGCAAGCTCTTTCTAGAAGCTGCATTGGGAAAAGACTAAAAGAAAGCCAGACTCCTGCACCCAAAATGAGCAGCCAAGAAGGAAAAGCACCTTCCCCCTGTCCCAGCTTCCAACCAGCAGCCAGTGTTAGCTACTCACTGATATAACATGATATTTGATTTCTGCTGCTGATCTATGATCTCATCTGGGACCGCAGGCTTGATAACAGAACGTCGGCCGAGGGTGTCCTGAAGGATCTTCATCAGCTCTGGGCTTGCTGCCTCCTTGTCTCCCTCGATCACTCCTATTTCCGCGCGGCCCCCTCGCTCCCTGTCCCGAATATCCTTTGCCAGAAGCATTGCCTGTTAAAGAAACCCACGGAGGCACTCGGCTTCTCTGCCCCTCCCCCTTTTCTGCCTGACGGCTTTGGGAGGAGCAGCCCAGATCCCAGACAGGAGTCACTCTGATGCCGGGGAGCCCAGAGGTGAGTCACAGACTCACACACTTGGCCTTTTTCTAAAACAGACTCTGCTCCAAGGCAGGGGTCCGCCTTGAGACTCAGGTAAGAGCCAGCAAGGAAAGAAGGGAGAGGCGCCTGAGAGAGCCGAGGTCTCCGAGCAGGCCTGAGGGGGAGGGGAGCAGGGAGGCTGGAAAGAGCTGTACCTTCAGACGCTCCCCGCTGTTGCTCTCTGGACCATTCCATTGGATGATAACCTTCCCAAGGTCCAGCAAGAAGACATCACCTCGGTTAAAACTGTCCCAGCTCATTTCCACCTGGAAGCAGACGTTATTCAGGAGGAAGTCTTAGGAATCAGGTAGAGAGGCCCGGGGCCCTGAAAACGTGGAGAGGACTTACCTCCGTGGCCCTGACGTTTCTCTTCCCCTTCACGTGTAACAGCCGCTCCACGTCGTAGGTGTTGGTCTCCACGTGCTTCATCCCAGAAGCCACGCCCCCCCTCTGGTAGCTGAGGGAACACCCAGTAAGTTATTTATTGAGCGCCTGCTCTGTGTTAGGTGCTGGGGGGACAGTGGTGAATTACGCGGACGCAGTTTCTGCCCATGTGGGTGACAACAGTAAATAAGCAAAGTCAACCAATATGGTAGTCATGGCTGCCACAGAAGCAGACACAGTGACAGACTCTGACAGAGTGGTCAGGCAGTCTTCTCAGAAGGTATAACAGTCCAGCTGAGAATTAAAGGAATAGGAACCAACAACAAGGAGCTAGTGTTCAAAACAGCGGGAACATTGGAAGTAAGACCCCATAGCATGGAAGAGCTTGCTTCGTGCTGGGAAAGGTGTGGCTGTCAGGGTGTGGCAGGGAGAGGGACACAAGCTGGGCAGCAGCAGAAGCATCGATGGCACCACGGCCTGAGGACCAGCTCCCTCCTGGTATCAGTTCTCCTGCCTTGGCACTCACCCAGCCCAGCCTCCGTACCAGGTTCCTGGTGACAGCAGGATGCCCTGTGCCCAGCAGGCGTGGGAACTGCTGGTCTGCAGGAAGCTGGCCTTGGACCAGCCTCAGAATTCTTGAGCTCATTGGGATTTCTTTTTGTTTCAAGCCCCAGTGCAAAGTTTTGAGTTAATCAAACTCATCAGTTCATGGAGCAGTACCAGAACCCTCTCTTGTTTTAGGCATTGACGTATTCTCTTTTATGTGCATACCCTGCTCACAGGCTTCACCCCACCATGGCAACCATTCTAACAGTTTAACATCGATTTATTTTTATTCTGGTGAAATGTGGACTGTTGTTTTGTGCGCACGTGGTTTTAAAAAACAAATTGGCATTCTGTTGCATAGCTCAAGGCTGTTTCTTACTGTGTTCACTAAAGCAGTGTGATGTTAAGCTCTGTCCATGTTAGGTATCTATCTAATCTGTTGCTCCTGCATAGTACTCCTTGATGTCATGGAGTCTTTTTCCTATCCAGTCTCCCCGTGCAGCTTCTGCCACCGCTCATGATAACTGCTGTGAACATCCTGGTTCATGTGCCTTTATGGAACTGGGTATGTGAGGATTCCTTTGAATTATACACCCAGAAATGGGACTTGCCTCAGGGGCAGATTACTCTGGAATGCTGTGCCAGTCCTCCCTCCCACCAGCAAGGCTCCAGGGCTCCTGTTTCCCCCCAGTCTCGCCAGCACTAGCACTGCCCAGCTCTCCGATTTGTGCTGCTCAAGTAGTGGAAATTATTTGTTTGGACTTACATTTCTCTGATCACTTTCTTCACGTACTTATTGGCCCTTCAGGTTTCCTTTTTGGAAAACTGCCGTTTTCCCTGGCTCGTCCCTAACTACTCACATGATTCCCTGCTTGAAGTAGCCGCGGAAGGTGTCGGACTCATGGTACTGGACCTCGCGGTGCTGCACGGGGCTGCCGCCCAGGTAGTCGTCCAGCTGTGTGGCGTAGATGGCCGCGCAGCTCTGCTCGTCCTGGGAGGAGTCCTTCCCGATCCAGAAGTGGATGTCCTGGGAGAGCAGACTGCCTGCTCTCCGGGTCTGGGATGTGGCCAGAGAGATCAGGTCAGGGACCAGCTCGCCTCCCCTTTGCTGCTGCCCCACTGGCAGCATACAGCGGCTCCAGACCTCTCCCTCCCTGCAGTGGCCCCTAAGCGGACCTACTGTGTGGCTCAAGCTCAGGCAGCCCTGATTCCTCTCCACATTTGGGAAAAGTTGACAGCTTGTTGTTCTCAAATAAATGGAGTGCAACAGGGACCCTTTCCAACTTGGATTGCAGACTTACCTTGCGGCTCCTCCATTCCCCTGAACTTACTGAGCTGGCACAATGCTGATCTGTCCATCTCTGTTCATGTGGGATGTTGTTTGCTCAGCTAGAATGAGCACCTCAAGGCCGGCATTTGTCTGGCCTTCTTCCACACCGCTGCCATCTGGGGGCTGCCCCCTCCCCAGGAAGCGCTGTTTGTGAGTTACTTACCTAGGTTCAGACTGAGGCCCCCCCCACCCCCCCCGATGCAAAATTGAGAGCTCCCACCTACGAACAGCCTTTAAGGCCAAATTGTAGGCCTGTCCTATATAACATTGAGGAAGAGTCAAGATTGACACCAGGGATCTGAGGAGCATCCTTTCTCTTCTGCAGAGCCTGGCTCTGGGGAGAGGCCTGTGGGCATGGGTGTGGGGTGGGGGGGTGGGGGGTGCTCACCGAGAGGATGATGTAGCAGTCCCCCTCATAGAAGCTGCCATGGGCACTCTGGGGCACGAGCGCCAGCTCCATTTTCTGGAAGGATAAGGGATGCGCACAGGCTGCAGTTCCTCCTACCTCCCCTCCCCCTCCCCGAAGCAGCCCTTTCCTCAGTCACAGACAGCAGGGGAGATGTCCCCACCCATCTGACAGGCTGTGGCGGGAGTAGCATGACCACCTGGCTTCTGAGCTCAGCCTGGACGCCTCAGTCTGAATGTGGGTGCCCGTCCTCGCCCCATCCTCCTCCCTGCTGCCCGCCCTGCGCTGTCCGCTGCCCTGTGTGAGGACCCCCAGCCGCTGCAGGAGGAGCTGGGTGTAAGCTGAGCAGCTGCACCGCTGCCTCCGACACCACTCTCCAACTCTGACCTCCAGTGCTGGCCACGGTCTGAGAGAACAGAGCGCGTAGGTTCTCTGGGGCTTTGTGAGGTGAATGCGTGTGGGCTCCGAGCCCAGCGTCTGGGGCGCGGCTCTGCTTTATCACCTGCATGTCCGTCTTGCCCCAGGAGGACTATTCCCATGGCCTCAGCGGTAGATTTTCATCACTACCTCCAAGTGAGGTAAACCTGCAGCCATGCTTGTGTGTGTGCTATGCAGAATGTGTGTGTTAAATGTAAAAACACTAAATATCCCATAGTTTTTGTACTTTTTAGTATTTATTGGAAATGTCCTTGGCTTCTCACACACTGAGCTGCTTGCTAGAGGCTGTGACTCTCCTTCCACATGGAGGGGAGAGGAGTGAGGCGTCACTTCGGGAGTTTTAGGCAGCACTCACTGGGCTCAGAGCAGGGGCGTGAGGGTGGGTGGGGCTGGCCAGGCCAGGGCAGTTCCTGGCTATAGATTGCTGGAGCTCAAGGCCAGCCATAGGGGTGCAAGTCCAGGTGGGAGAAGGGATGAGCCGTGTCCTCTTCTGTGCAGTGCCCCCAAACCTCCCCTACTATATACTTTGTGGGAGCTAGAGCACTCCGGTTCGGACAGAAGCAGCCTGGAGTATCAGTCCCATCTCCCCGGGGCATTTACTGGAAGCGCAGACTCACCCGAGCAGCTGGCTAAATAAAGGACAAGCTTACTTTTGCTCGGAGCCTTTCTCTCCAAGGCTAAGAACACTTCCTCCACCTGCCACCCACCTGCTTTGGACACGCAGGAGGGATAAAGGGAAATGTGCACCTAGATGCTGTCTCACTGCTCCTGACGGGAGACAGAGGGGGCAGTCCTGGGGAGGCCTGGGTGACGAGGGGAAGGTGTGCCCCAGCCCCGCTCACCTCTATTCTCCAGGTGATGATCCCAGGGTCGTTGCCCACAGCCCTGAAGGCGCTGCTCAGAGACATGGCTCTTGTCTTCCTGGGACTGAAACATCATAGAGCAAGCAGGGAGATGAGGCCTGTCCCGGCAGGCATTCATTCACCCAGCTCTCTTCCTAAGTCACTTGCGAGTCTTTTGTCAGCCCCCCTGCCACGTCCTGCTATTTCACAGTGATGGGGGCAATGACTTGTCCGAGGTCACATCGTTAGCCTGGCTGCCCAGGACTCCCACCCGGAAGTTCTGCTTCCCACTTGCCACTTGTCTGGTGAAGAGCTGTGGAAGCAGCCGGGTTATTTACTGAAGGAGTGATAAATATGCTAAGCCCTGTGTTGTTCATTTTATGTTATCTCATTTATTTCTCATAAGCTGAGTGTATTTTCTTCGTCTTACATTGTAGGAAAACAGGTTCAGAGAAATTAAACAATTTGCCCAGGATCACACACTAGTATGAAATCCTTATCTGATCCTAAAATCTGTGCTTTTAGTCTTTTTGATGTACTGCAGCCCTTCCTAAACATGTCTAAATTCAGTGATACACCAGGAGGAAAGCTGATGTCAAACTAAGTATTTCTAAATTGGGCTGCCTTCTCTCATTCTCATCCCCCCTAATTCTTCCCAGCTTCTCCATAGTCAACTCTGACCTTTTCTTTGAGCTTTTACTTTCAAGTAAACTATCCTAAAACTCAGACAACCCATCCTACTTGTCTTATGACTAATATATTCCCTGAACCTCACAGAAAAAAGTAAAATGGCAAGCAGGGCCGGGCCTGGGACAAAGAGTATCGGTGCCAACAGGGGAAGGTGGGCGTGGCCTAGCCTGCCAGTGAGCTGCTGCCCCCCCCCCCCCCCCAGTGGAGCCAGTGGTGCTGGGTCTGGCCTGGGGGGGGGGGGGGCAGTGGTGAAGAGAAGCCTGTGTGGATTGTGCACCGTCTCTATTCAAGGCGTATCCAGGGTTATCGAGCACATACCCACGTCCATGTCACATAGGGCCTTTATTAATTAAAAGGCATCTCTGGTTCTTGCTCTCAAGGAGCTTACCATCTGATGACAATACACACGACTGATGAATATGGCCAAGAGGCAACGCAAAAGGGCTGGCTTGGTGGATCTGTCGTGTGAAAACCCATCCACAAAAGCTGTGTGGAGCTTCGCGATCTAGAGGCAATGACATTGTGCCTGTTCAGGGGAGCAGGTCTGACCGTTCTTTCCTTGAGCTATAGTGAATGAGCCCGGGTTTGGAATACGCTCTGTGTTTAGTATGTATTTTGGTGGAAACACAAACCTCCCTTTGTCTATTGCTATGGCAGGACTAAAGCTGAGCAGTGAGGCGGAGCAGCCACTGTTTGAGGATTTAATTTGATAACTTGCATCGCCCCACCCTGTGCTGCTCAGAACTGCCAGGAAATATTTGTTCAGGTTTTCTTTCTTTTTCTTTCACTTTTTTTTAAATTAAGGTATTATATGTGTACATATCTTACCAACCCCCCCCACCCCCCACCCCACTACCATAGATGCCCTCCCTCCCCAGAGTGTTCAGGTTTTCTTCAGACACTCCATTTCAATCAAGGCAAATGCTGTTAGCCAACTAGGCAAAGGGAACAAGGGCCAATGAATTCACTCCTTGAAGGTAGACAAGTGTCAACCTGGTAAAAGCCAGACCAAGTGGCATTAATTAGGGACATCTCAGAGGCCCAAAGCAGCCCCGTTTGTCAGCAGGGACTTAGCCATCAGGAAGGATCTTACAGGTCTTGTGTCTCCCAAATGCAGGAGAGGACATGCTCAAAGGGACTTCTTGCCACACTGGAACACCCAGAAAATGCGACTCCATCTATAACATCAGGTTTCCCCAAAACTTGGTCCCTCTCTCCCTCCTCCCAAGGTTCTTATAAACTCAGCACCCTTTAAGATCACTGCAGAAACCCTTGGGGTGGGGTGCTGTTTTGAAATCACGAGTTAAAAGCAAGTGGCCCTTAATTCTTAGAGATAACAGTATGAATGGACCCCAAACAGAGGCTGTTGGTTTTAACCTCTCCCTTGCCCCAGACCATCTCAAAAACGGCACTATCTGTTCAGGATCTTGGTTTCTCAGCAGAAGTTTGCAAAACGGGTTTCAAACTCCTGGTTCAACCCTTCAAAAGCCTCACTGAAGAGGGCAGAGCAAGGAAAATCTCCCCCCCCCCCCCCTTGTTTCTTCCTTGTTCAGTAGGATGGCTCTCCTGACAGGCACCCGCAGCGGACCTTACCTTGCTCCTCTCCGTCCTCCCGGGTGCTGGTGGGTAAGCGGCAGTGCTTGTGAAGAGCCACCCCAAAGCAGGCGTCTCCAGGTCTGCCGCCTGAGCTCAGTAATGGCTGCACAGACACTGGGTTATATTTGCTTGGCTTTGCATCTTAACCACATTTTCCTAGTCCTGGCCAATCACAGCCAACCTAGCCCTGGGCTCGACTTATTCAAACCAGAGGGAAAGCTTTATCTGTTCCTATTCAAAACAGCAAAAAACAAGAGCAGACTTTTAAAGGCTTTTTTTTAACTCCAGCTCCACGCCCTGATCTAATTGATTTTTGAAAAGTGCATAGCCCATCAATAATGCAGGAAAGAGGGTGGGAGGATATGAAATTTGCCATTGTAGATATGGATGCATTATGCTGACAGGAGGCAAGGGCTAGAGCTGCCTGCCCAGGGCCTGGATGGCCAGGCTGGCAAGTGCCTCCCAAGAAGCTTCTGAGCATTTTTAGAAGGGGAGGGCAAGTCTAGATGAGAGGCCTGGAGTGAGCTATGCCTCATCCTGTTTTGCTTCTTGGTGTCATACATCACTCCATCAATATTTGAGTGCCATGTGCCAGAACCAGCCTGGGTTCCGGGTTCAGGCATCCTGGTTTGGGAACATCGGTGAGGGGCACAGAAGAATGAAGTCCCCTGGGGTGCAGGTCCATCCCCGTAAGTCGATAGGACACCAAGCACTTGCTTATTAAGCACCTGGACAGCAACAGAGTTGGTTCTATTGGGGGCTGGGGAAGAGCTAATGTAGCCCAACTTCCGTGACGTTGAGCAGAAGCCCGTGTGGAGCCTGCAGCTGTCTCCCGGCCACGGGAGTCCAGCTTCGTCATGACGAAGGGGTGCGAGGGGTGAGGTGTGCCCGATAGGTGCCCAGATGAACAGAGGATCAGGAGGCAGCACCCTTCCTGGGGGGGTTTTTAAACCCGCTTTTATTAATTGTAAGTAATACAAATATTCCAAAAATATAAACAGACACGTAATGGCGCCCTACATTTCAAGTTTTTGAATACAAATTTATCAAACCATGAATCTGTAAGCAAGGCAATCAGAACCCCACAGCCCAGTCACAGCAGAAGCAGGTCCCCCACCCTCCAAACGTCTTGAAGGGGTAAAGTGGCACTGACGTGGGAAAAGGACAAGCACAGCAGCACATGGGGCCCAAGAGGAGGTCTGCTCCAGGGACGGGGCCAGACCTCTGGCTTTCCTCCCCTGCTTGAATGCGAATATTTGCCTTTTATTAAAAAGGGGGGTGGGGCCCATTCTTTAAAGTGACAGGGACAATGGTAAGGTAACCGGCTGAAGACATAAAGGGGGAAACAGGCTTCCCTTCCTCTGACCCTTTGCCTGGCTGGACTCGGGGTGCAGGGCAGCATTACAGGGGGCTGCCCCGCTGAGGCTGTGGGATCAGGGCAGGGCTAACAGGATAGGATGGCACCCATTTCCCAGGGAACAATGCCTTTAAGATTTCCCATGCCTTTTAGCACAAAGCTTTTTGGCCACTGTTAACAGAGGTGAGTTTATACACTTACAAAATGGTCATCATCTTTGGGAGGCAGGAGGGAACTAAACAAAGTCCCAGGTTAACTGAAGGCAAACTTGCTCAACCTCTCTCTATATAAGGGACCCGTGGGCCTACAGTGTCCCCTCTACAATGTGCAGAGTGAACTCTTACCTGACCCTTTCCAAACCGGCCCTGTGTCCGAAGCTCCCCCTATGAGAGGGACACCGACATCAGGCTTTGGACTGAGAAGCCCAATCAGAGAGACACACTGTGTCCCTGAAGAGGCACATTAAAGGACTGAACCTGGCAGGGGGGCAGATTCCTGGCATGGTTTGAATTGGTGCTGACCAGGCATGGCAGCCGATTGCCTTCCAAAGATCAGCCTCCAACAGGAAGGGCTGGTGGGAAGCCCAAGCACAGATCCTGAGGCAAACCGACTGCCTCCCAATCTTCTCCTCCTCAAAAACTGGGTCTGGCCTGAGTCCTCTCAGGAGCAATCTTCTCTTGCCCCCAACACACAGGAATCTGGAAACCAGACAGCAAATGAGGCTGGCTCTGGTCCACACGGAGACCCTGTTCGGGGCGTATTTGGCCTGGCTGCTTCTCTGGGGAGTGGAAATGGCTTATCTTTGAGGAACTGCGGGTGGGCAGGGCAGAGCCCACACAAGACAGAGGACACAGCCCCCAGCGCTCCTGGCCCATCATGGTCACACTCAGGCCTGATAGGCAGGGCTGCCTCGGCTCTTCGCCTGGAGGAGCGTGGAGAAAGGGTCCTGGGAACTGGACCCGTTTAGAGCCTCTTATTGCTTGTCAGTAAACCCTGACTGGGCCAGATGGCAGATTTAACCCAGGGGCTAAGTTAGCCCTTAGGGTGCGTCTTGCGAGAGACCCCTCCACAGTATCAGGGTGGAGGCCTAGCCCTGGCCTTAGAACGAGAGGCCGTTTCCTTCAGGAGCCTTCGTTCCCGGCTGGTAACAGAGCCTCTCCCCTACCTGCAGGACCCCATGGAAAAGCCAGGGATGATGCTGGCGGAAGGACACATGGCTCTAGGGACTGTTCCATGGCTGCGACACCAGGGAAACACAAAGCCTTCCATCCTTGGACAAAACAGGAGGTGGCTCCATAATATGAGGAAGATGCTAGTCAGCCAGCTACCGCCCAGAACACGAAGCTGCTGCTCCCCCACCTGGCTCTTCTCAGACTGGGCCCAATGTGCGGAAACGGAAATGGATAATGGGGAGGAGTCTCAAGCAGGAGATGTCCTCACACCTGAAATAACGTACAAATGCCATGTAACACCTGCCTCCAGGGAAAGAGGTAAGTGAGGAACTCCCTCCAGCCTCAGAGGGAGGGAGGGAGGGAAGAGAGAACCCAGCCAGCCCTCGGGGAAAGCACGATTAAGGCCAGGATGCTGAAATGGGGCCTCCTTTTTGGGGGGGAGTGAAGGGGGAGGTGGTCCTTATGCTCCCAATTACAGCAGCAGTTCTCCTCTTATTTCCATCCTGGAGAATTCCATTTTGTGACTCCTTTTTAAAGCATTCACTATTAACAAACTTTGAAAGCAAGAGACACTCAGAGGGCAGGTGTATGAAGAGGCAGGAGGCATGTGTTAGGCTGGCACAGTAATGATAAGAATGCCCACTGCCCCTCAGCCCAGGAAAAGAGGAGAGCCTCTGAGGCCCTGGAGAGAAGTGACAGCAGGGGGGATGAAGACAGGCCAGGCCAGGGAAGACACACGGGAAAGAGCCCGGCCCCAAAAAGGAAGGGCAGGCAGGGAGCGCCCTTCCCGGACTGTGGAACCAAAGTCCTTGCACCAGCACCAGCAGAGAATCCCTGAAGACAGACTCACAGACATACACGCTAAGGGAACACACATTCGGGCTTTTGGGATTTTCCTCTTCCCTGCACCCCCAGTGCCACCCATAATCCTCCTAAGCCCAGGACTGCAGCTTGGTCAAAAACAAAACAGCCCAACACTCCATGTTTAGAAAGAGAATTTTAAAACAGAGTCAAAAGAACGGAAATCAGTTATCTGCCCTCTCCCACGGCAGGAAGACCTCCTCCCCACGGATTTGAGACTATGGCTAGGGTGTGAGGAAGGCAGGCCCAGCGCCCCGGCCTTGGGGAGGGAGACACAGGCCCAGGCCAGGCACTCGGTTGGAAGGAAGTGCAGCCCTTGAACTGCAGGACGTTATGGCCCCTGGGGCGACCAGTTCTGGAAACAAGCTTTCATCTTCCAGAATTGTCCTCCATCTGCAGCAGCCGCTGGAGAAAGGTTTCAAAGAGAAGTATGCCCGGGCACCCGAAGGCAGCTGCCGACTTCTCCCTTCTCCTTGGCACAAGCCATACAACACCGAGAGGCCATGGGTTTGGCAATGGAGCCCTGAATAGTCTGCATCCCTGTAAAGCTCAAGGTGACTGGGGAGGAGACAAACTTAAGGAGGGTCTTGATCTTTCAGCTTTTACCCCAACCTAAAACATTTATATCCTTGAACATAGTTGAAGGCAACACACACACACACACACACATACATACACACACACACACTCATCTCAGGAACCCAACTCGGGGAGTAGGCAGCTTGGGGTATCATTGGTCTGATGTTTGCCCACTCGGTGTCTAACCTGTCCTAAAGTTCTTTCCCCATCACTTCTATTTCCAGGCCCCATTTGGTGAGAAGTTCCAGTTTCCACTCCGTCTGTCAGGCTGGTCAGAAAGGCACAGTGTAGGCAAGTCCCCTACTGGGATGGCCGCTGCGTGGAATCAGGGAAGGCTAAGGAGCCCGCAGCTGCCCAAGGCTGGTGTAGACATCCTCTGCTCCACTCAGCTCCTCGAAGATTGGGATCAGGTTCAGCAACTCGGTGTCTGCCATGTCATCAAACCAAGACTGCACGGGCACCTGAGGCAGGGAAAAGGCAGCAGAAACCTCCTCCTGAATGCCAGTTCTTCCTTCCCTTGCCCCAGAGCCCCCGGAGCTGGCTGGGTCCGCCTGGGATGGTGTGCTCTTCCGGCCAAATCCCAGGGTCCCCACCCACCCCCTCTCCCACTTAGGTCAGGGACGCTCCCATCTGGGCCACTCACTGCATTCTCTGGATGGAAGATGTAAGAAGCAGGCGAGTTGTCCAAAATGAGGGTTTTCCTCAGGTCCCTTCCCAGGCGGCTGAGGTCCTTGACATAGCAGCCCTGGTGGAACACACAGGACTCACGGAACAGGCGGGCCCGGAACACCCCGCACCTGTCCAGCAGATCCGTCACAGGGTCGGCATACTGGGGGAAGAGAAGACACTGGTTTGGTGGCAATCTGGGGACCAGCAAGGGACTACTGGACCACCCCTGTAACAGCCACATCTGCTCCCAGTTCTTTTCTCTCCTCCTGCCCCAGGTACCTTGGCCAGGCTGGCAGTGAAAAGAACACATTCAAAGAGCTCCCCCATCCGTCTCAGGAACTCATCCACATAAGGCCTCTTGAGCACATACACCTGAGGAAAAGCAGAGGGGCTTGTTGAAGGCATCCCTGTGAGGGCAAAGCGTCACTGTCACCACTTCCACAGGGACCAGGAGTGGTTTCAGACCTTAGTTGTCCAGACTCCCACACCTCAGCCCCTGAGACCCCGTGGCTGGAAGCCTTCTGGCCCACAGGCCAGCGTATTATCACCACCTCCTCACCAGGCTTGTTGGCTCAGTGGTCCCAGCCTTGACCCAGCTCAGGAAGAAATGCATTCACCTGCCCTGGGAGCCAATTCTGTGTCCAGCGGCGAACCATCAGCTGCCTCCAGAAACAAGTAATCAAGAATAGGCCTCACCGGTGGAAACAGCCTATCCTGGATTACTTGAATCCAGCCACAGCCTCTGTGGGAGCTTCCTGTCCTTGGCTCTGGCAGGACAGTGTGTCCAGTCACTGTCAGGCAAGGTCGCAGATACTTCCTGAAACCTCATGCCCTCACACAGCTTCTCTGAAATGCACCGGGGAGAAGTGACTTTCCCCCCAATGACCGCAGACCAGGCACTCTGCAGTTTCTTGCTTTAATGCCCCCACCCATTTAGTACTCACTCCTGCTAGACAACTGTAACACTCATGTCCACCTTTCATGACCTTGTACATTTTGGCCTGAAAGATCCGTTGGCTACATGTTCTTCATCCGTTGTCTGCATGCTACTGTTTTCCTGCCTCCAGGCTCCTGCCCTCTCACACGGCCCACACAGGTGCTACTAGAAACACTCCTTCAAAGCTCCACTCATCTATGGGACTCCCTGCTTGAGCACGTGCTTGCTGTGACTCCCCCTCCTGGAGGTGGCCTGAACTGGCCACGAGCTCCCTCCTTGCTCTGCAGCAGCAGTCCTCCACTCCAGGCAGCCACAACTTGGGTCCCTTTCGTTTGCCATTTCTTCAGCCTTCAACAAGTTCCTCCTTCTGCCTGGCTCTTCATCAAGCTCAGCATCCCTCACCACTCTGCTGAAACCCTGCCTTCTTCGTGCCCCTCCTTAACTAGGGATTCACAGTCCAAATCTGCCCGCTTGAAAACATGCCTTCATCTTTTCCCTGGGTTCTGTTCATTTCTATGCCCTCAATCAGACTGGCAGGGCTTGGCAGGCCCTCAGTTGGGAGGGGCTGGTGCTGATGAAGAAAGCCTCTGATGGATGCGGGATGGTGAGGACAACCCAGAACCCAAACCCATTCCTCTCTACAAGTAACTCTATTTGACCAGCTGTGCAAGCAAGCATCAGGGCTACCAATACATTGTTCCCAACGGCTGCCAGGCATTCTGGGCAAGCGTTTGCAGTAAATGGTTTTCCACTATACCATATGGTCCTTAACCTGGGGCCGAATGTCCCTTAACTGTGGTCCTTAAAGCAGGGCTAGAACCTAATCTTATTTATTTTTAAAAATATTTTTTTATATTGATTTAAGAGAGGAAGAGATTGAAACATCAATGATGAGAGAGTCATTGATTGGCTGCCTCCTACATGCCCCACACTGGAGATTGAGTCCACAACCTGGGCACATGCTATTGACTGAAACTGAACCCGGGACTCTTCAGATTCAGTCTGTAGGCCTCCACTCTATCCGCTGAGCCAAATCAGCTAGGGCGAACCTAATCTTTTTTTTTTTTTTAATATATAATATTTTATTGATTTTTTTTACAGAGAGGGATAGAGAGTTAGAAACATTGATGAGAGAAATATCAATCAGCTGCCTCTTGCACACCCCCTACTGTGGATGTGCTTACAACCAAGATAAATGCCCTTGACCTGAATCGAACCTGGGACCTTTCAGTCCGCAGGCCGACACTCTATCTACTGAGCCAAACCGGTTTCGGCCGAACCTAATCTTACTTAGATTCAGGTGTTCTTTGACAGATGTGTACTGAACACTTAATGGGGAAGAAACCAGTTTAGGGACCCAAAGGGAAGGGAGTAGGAGAAAGCTTTAGAGGAGATGCCTGGCTGGGGAGGAAGAAGTTCCCTAGCTAGTTGGAAAAGGCAGACATGAGGAGGAGACAGAACAGCTTGTACTGGCTTTCTTGCCTAGAACCGGCAGACTCAACTATTCAGGAATAGAGAAAATGTAATAAATTATACAATAGTGCTGGTCACATTGGGAGAGGGGAATGGTGATCAATAAATGGTAGCTATCACTATGATTAAAAATATTTAATTTCAAATAGCTTGGCTGCAAAGAGAAAAAAAGGTGACAGCTAGTGGGGGATAAAGAGCTGAGAGTGTGTGTGTGTGTGTGTGTGTGTGTGTGTGTGTGTGTGTTTAAGATGAGAAAGCCTTGAGTGTGAAAAGGTGTAAAAGGTACTAATAGGAAAGAGGCTAAAGTTATAGGAAAGGGATCAATTGATGGAATACAAGCCCTGAGAAGAATGGAGGACCCCGAGCCTTGGGGATGGGTGTGGCCTAGCAGGCCACTTACCTGGTGAGTGGTCCCCTCAATCTCTACAGGCACTATGAAGTCAGCATTGTTGATTGGCTGGAAAGGAGAAAAGTTAATGAGGTCAGTGACTGAGGGGTGGGAACAGATCTTGGACTCAGGAAGCTCCTCCTGCCAGCATACTAAGTAGTTCTCACCCCAGCACAGGATGCAGTGTCTTATCTGGTTTTCCCTACTTATCCCCTCCCCGCAAATTCTACCTAAGCTGAGAGTATCAGGGCCTTCTTGAGTTAACAACCTTTAAAAAGTAAATAATAAAAAATAAATAAATAAATATATATATATATATATATATATATATATATATATATATATATATATATATATATATATATATAATTGATTTTTTAGAGAGGAAGGGAGAGACATAGAGAGCTAGAAACGTCAATGAGAGAGAAACATTGATCAGCTGCCTCTTGCACACCCCCTACTGGGGATGTGCCCGCAACCAAGGTACATGCCCCTGACCAGAATCGAACCTGGGACCTTTCAGTCCGCAGATCGACGCTCTACTGCAGAGCCAAACCGGTTTCGGCGAGTTAACAAACTTTTTAATAAAACAGAGAGGAGCAAGATCCAAGGCTGAGTCAAGCCCTCTTTTAGGCCTGCCCTGTACACAACCCTGGTAACACTCTGCTGTGTGACTGGGGCAGTGGCATCCTGCTGGCAGAGCAGGGGTTAGGCGGAGCAGGGGTTCCTACTCAACATTCTTTGGTGTACTCTCCAGACATCTGTGATGCCAGTGTGCCCCAAATTGGAGAGGCCCAGCCTACCCCATCCTGATCACTCTTCTATCTTTAGGCCACCTGAGCCAGGTGCACGAGGTAGCCTAAGATGGTGGTAGGAAGGAATCCAGATGTCAAGTTACCTTAAAAGAGCTATGCACAAGGGTTTCATCCAAGTCAATGACCACACAGATCCTTCCTTGATCTTCCTCTGTCACCTCTGGGAGCAGGCAGGTCCCTGGGATCTAAAACCAGAGCCAGATTGCTGAGATATGCCACCAAGAAAGCCCAGATGTTCATCTCAGCAGAACTCTGGGAATAGCTGGACTCATCAAGGAGATGAAAGACCCCAACTTCAACCCAGGAGACATGCCTCTTGAAGGCCAAGAGGTAGAAAAAGAAGAGACAAAGTGGGCTCTTTGGCCTTCGCCTCCAAGTGCACTATGAAGTGATCTGGACATTGGAGAAGGGGGCCAGGACTGGTGTGGGATGGACCCAAGCTGTGCCTCCAAAATCCACAAACTGCACATGATGGGCCCCAGCAAACATCTGGAACAAATAGCTTCCCAATAGGGGAGTTGGCCAGCTAGACACAGAAATGAGGGCATTATCCTATGGAATTAGCTGGGATCATGGGATCTTGGGGCTTCTGAGCACGTACCCTGTCAGATTCACATACCTGATAAAACTGGTACTGGAGACACTGGAGCAGGTCAGACTGTAGGAGAAGAAGAGGCAGTCAGTGCCAACCTACCAACACCCACCCATCTAAGGCCCACTGCTTCTACCTCAGGCCTAGAGGGTAATCTCCCTAAGACCACAGCCTCCTTGAAAGTACAGACATGACAAAATGACTTTTCTTAAGATCTGGACAGGAAAGGCCAGAACTTCATTTCCACATTAGGCCTGATAAAGGGTGGAGAAGACACCGTCCCTGCCTCAGTTGAACAAAGCAAGGAATACGGAATTCAAGTGAGTGGTGCTTCCCAGAATAAGAGTCAGTACCAAAATTGGAATTCCTTACTGGGTGGCTGAGCCTCTTGCTTAGTCCTGGGACCTAAGTTTCTCCTTGAGAACATGTACTTTCTATTCCCTCCTTGGGGGAAACACATGGGGGAGCAACTGAGCCTCTGCAAAACAGAAGCGAGCCAAAGGGAACCCACTTTGTGGGTTCCAAAATGGGTGGGGAGGTGGAGTGGGAGAGATCAGAATGGCTTCCCCACCCTTTGCTAATGATAAAAATGTTGTTATGGTTGTAAAAAGTAGTGTGTTCTTAATGGAAACCTCCAAGAAAAAAACCTAACACTTAGAAAAACTTACTTTGGCACTTCTTTCAAGTTTGTTTTAGCAGCACCACCCCTCCCCGGTATATAATTTTACATTCTGCTTTTTCACTTAATATTGCAGCTCAGTACTTTTCCATGTTATTATGAACTCTTTGTAAAAACCAATTGCTTAATATGTCATGTTGTACTACTGGATAATGAGGCGATTTTTCACTGATGTACGTGTCATTAGCCTGGTTTTAGAGATAGTAAGGACAGCTATACCTTGGTGTTTTGTAAAGAAGTACCAATGGCATTGGGGCAGAAGGATTTTTGGTCAGGGCTGTTCCTATCCTTGAAATGCCAGACATATCTACTGGTCATTGTGAAGATCAAAGACCTACACATTCCCAAATGTGCCACACAGGGAGAGGTGAGAGTGCTGGAAGGGGTTATCAAGAATGTGGAACAATTTCAATTCCTTGGTTCCCTGAAAGTCTAGTAACTTGGAAGGTAGTTTTGCACAGTGAAAAGCTAAAACAGACACAGGACCTATAGCAAGGATAACCTGAGTTGGAACCCTGACACCACCATTTAGTAACTGTGAACTCTTCAGGGCCACAGACCCCTCTGGTCTACTTCCTCTTCTGTATGTGGGAATCTGTCTCTCTCCTCATACACAGGCCCTGGGACCTGGAGGATCTGGACTGCAGGGGCCCTCAGAAACAACAGGGACATCCGGGTGGCCCAGACCACAAGCGGAAGCAAGAAGAGTAAGATGAACCAATTACGGGTCCATCAGAAGAAGGGCCTCTTCTCAGCCAGAGACCTTCGTGACCTCAGGCAGGGCTGCTTGTCCACTTGAGGCTCATGGACTCCGCTAGCAGCTCCCTCCTTCATGGCGTCACACCACCCTGACCCAGCTACCTTAGCAATGGTGTTGGCTTCCTCCTTGTATGCAGAGAGCTCAGTGCACGAGCTTGACTGGCCAACATGCTGGGCGCGAAAACAGCAGAAAAGGGCCTTGAAGATGTTCCGTCCACGGGGCTTTTTGGGAGAGGACTTGGAGACCAGGCCTAGAGCAGAAGGAATGATGAAGCGTTAACTTCAGAGCATCTCTGTCCCCAGGTACCTCCCTGCAACCTGGTGCTGTATTCCCGCTAGTCCGCAAGCTCCATGGGGGTCCACAGAATGTGCTGGCCAACAACCCAATGTAGTCAGCAGTGAAATGTACATGTTAATCCAACATCTTTTCTCTAGAGCAAAGACAGCAGGAATCCCCACTTTCTGGTTTGGGAAATGGGCTGCAGAAAATCTGCTCTTCATTTCATGGGAGGGCACTCAAAGATGGCACCAGGTATTGAAACGGTGTCCTCCTGCTCTGTCGCAGCATACTGTGGGCACCCTCAAAATTAATTCACAAAGATACATATCCTCCCTGAACAACACCTGTTCCCACAAGACTACCCACTCTAGGTAAGTAAACTGGAACCCTTCCCTTCAAGTTAGTAGAGCTGTGGTTCTGTTCAGGGTCAGCTTCCCTCACTGCTGGGTCAGTGTCAGCAGAACTGAGCCGAGACTAGATGCAGCTGACTAGAGAACAGAAGAGCCACAGCCCCTAAGAAAAAGCTAGTGTGTACTTTGTTCATACCCTTGTCTCCTCCCATACTCCAGCCACTTTTCTTCTCCCCCCCACCCACTTTTCTTAATACTCCTCTCCTCTAATCTTGAACCAGAGGCAGATTAAACACTTGGGACATACACATCTAGTGTTGGATTCTAGCTTGTGGTCCCTGTTTCCAGGACTGTAGCTGTTTAGTCCTTCCTTGATAATTCAGGCTTTGGAAATACAGAGGTGTTTTAATAGGAGCCTTGGCAAGGCAGCTCCAGAAAGGCCAAGTTGATACAAAAAGCTATGGGCATTAAAGCATGAAGCAGAAATGACTTCAGAATATAGCATCTTTTCAAAGTTCCTTTTGGTTTTTAAAAGATGAACAATTCGTCAACTGCTGATGGAGAGTTGGAAAACACTGTGGGTGCTGTGGCCAGGAGGTGGCGCCACACCACCACAGCCAGAATGGTCTTCAGCCACAGATCTCTTCTCCCCAGGCTGTGTGGCAGGGAGGTGGGCCTGAGGAGTAACCCTAACCCATTCCACTTTAAAGTACATGTAAACTGTGCAGGAAAATAAACACTGGAAAGGCCGATGTCTTTGTGGATAAAAAAAGGGCAAAGGGAATGTGGCACTAAAGACAACTTCCCTTTGTTGTTCCCTGCTGTAAGGGAAGGGAAAGAAAATGCAGTGGGGCCACTCAGAAACTCCCCCAAGTCCTCACAGCATGTGCCCCACCACACGACCAAGGTGGCCTGTGCAGATGATGTGATGGAAGAGCCATTTAACACCCAGTTGTTGGGCTTCTATGTCCCTGGAGAGGAAGAGAGAAAACCAAACTCTATTCCCAGGACCACAGTTAGTCAGCCAGTCACACGGCAGTCGCCTGGCCCCATGGCAGTCACCTAGCTCTGCACCAACAGAAAGGTGGAGGGATTCCTGCAGTGCAGGGAGGGTATCCCTGGTTGGTCAGTGGGTCCCCCAAAGCTCGCTCTCTCAGCTCCCTTGAAACTGGTCTGGCCATTAGAAAGCTTTTAGAAAATCATCAGGTCTCCCCAGCAATCACCCTAAAAACCTGGATATTACCATCAAGCTCTTGGCCCTGGTGGGAGAATCAAGATTTCCAGGGATTGGGGATTTTGTTGGGAAGAAAGTACATTGGGGACTTCTACCCAAGGCCTCTGTATCAAGACGACAAACATTAAGAGCACAGCCAGTGCCTAGCAGGAGGCTCCTTTGATTTTTCCTATTCACAGTAATCTATGCAGAAACCAGAGGGAAAAGACAGCTTCTCCACCTGCTTGTATGACCCACATTCAATTCCAAGCCCAGGGATTCAAGCAGACGCTGACACAAAGCTCCAAGACCGAAGCTGAACCTTTGCTTTTCCTTGGGTTTATGGTTTCTTCACACAGAACCACAATCAGAGGCTTAACCCAGCCACTGAGCCTTTCTTAAAGGCCACACAGCCCGAGCTTTCCTTAAGAGAGGCCATCAAGAGCACACTCAGCATCTCAGTGCCAGACACGGTGAAGGCTGAGTAATCCTACGAGGCTAGGAGGTGAAGGGCAGCAGGCTGGGGTCGCAGAGGCGCCTCACTGGTGTCCATGGGGGAGGCCCAAGAGGCAGAAGCGCTTCGGTCTCAGGAGCTTCTCGGCGAGGTGGGGCTGGGGGCCAACTCAAGCTTGGTTTGGGCTCTGCAGGGGAGGAGGATCTTCTCAAAAACACAATGTGACCAGGGCAGACTCTGGGCCTCAGCGATCACAGATGCCTGGTGCTCAGAGCATAGAGCGGTGATGCCTGGGAAGGTACCCCAGACTCACTACTCTTTTCCCTTTTGGGGCCCCAGGTCCTTCAGTCCTTCTCCAGGTTGTCTGTCCTCTTTACCTTTACAAACACTGCCACTGAGAATCCATCAGGGCTTCAGCCTTCTCTCAACATGGCTGTCTCTTGACAGGGCCTGCACTGGCCTCAACCCCATACATTCGCCAGCCTCCAGCTCTCTGCGTGGCAGGTGCTCAGTAACTTCCACCGGCTGTGTGAATGGCTCCAGGCCTCCAGGCTGTGGAGCTCTTGGCTAGTTCGCAATAGCACAGAAGAGTTCGGCGCAGAAAGGGTGCCAGTGTGTGAGAAGATGAGGTGGGCTCTGAAGGAGCTGAGCCCAGGGCAAACCACTTAGTCTTCTGGGCCTCGGTCATGTTTACTGAGCACTGATGAGGTGCTGGCCTGTGTTAAGACACTTGACATCATTACCTCATTTAACCCTCACTAAAAACCCATCTGCAGGCACTAATCCCAATTTTCCAGAAAGGAAACTAAAACACAGGGAGGTTAAGTAGCTCACTCAAGGTTACACGGAGCAGGACAGCAGAGCCAGGATTTGAACCCAGGTCTCCTTTAACCTATGGCCCCCAACAGCTCAAAATCATCCTGGGAGGATGTGGGGCACTCCCAGGAATGTTTGCTCTGTTCCTTTCTAGGCTGGGCCAGCAAAGGGTCAGTCTAGCTCCTCTTCTTCGCTGTCCTCTTGGGCAGGCCATGAAAAGTGCAAGGAGTAAAACAGTACGAAGGCTCTGGAATTCCATTCCAGGGTTCGCCTCACCCACGCCCCAGCCCTGCACCTGCTTTCCCTGGCAGTTACCTCTGGAAGATCAAGACAATGGGGGATGGGATGGGGAAGGAGCTGGAGTCAGAAGTTTTGGTCCAAAACCTGCTTTGCTCAGTGGGGAACACAATACCGGAGTGGGGTCTGAAGCTTGTGTCAAAGAGCCTTTCAAAGGACTCCCTTCAGCCAGAATGCAGCATTGTGTCCCTGACAGCAAGGTGCAGGCCACCTCCCACCAGGAGGACACAAGATTTACAAGCCTGTGAGGAGCTCACTGCACCCAATTTCCCTGAGGGAGAACAGGATTCCAGTGGGTGCCATGTAGCCCATAACCAGCTGCTCTCCCTCCCTCCTCCTACTGCTACCTGTTTTGTGGATACCCAGCCCTACTCTCCCTCTCCAAACATCTGGCTGAGGGCTGGTGTTGGAGAGAACCAGCACAGAACTAATGGAGGAAGCTCTGGCTTAAGAAGAAAGTGTGCAAGTGACTAAGAACAGGGAAGCCAGGCCACCGCTCCAGTTAGTTCTCCACTGCAAGGCCTCCTACTGAGGCAGGATATAAAGAGAGGGGGACCTGAGAGGTATCCCCTATTCTGAGGATCACCTGGGTTAGGGTCCGGGCTCTGCCAGTTACTGACTCAGGCACACAGCCTCTTTAAGCCTTAGTTTCCTCACCCATTAGTTGGGATAACAGCAAGACCTCACTCCTGACTAAATGATAAACAAAACTTATTGTCTGAAATGCACTGTGCAAACTAAAGGTAAGTGTGCTCATTTTAATGAACTACCTAAGAAGAGAGGACCACTACCTGACAATATCGAAGGCCTCGTTCCACGGGGCCAACAAAAGAAAAGTGCAGGCCCTCCCACCCCCAGCAAGGGGTTGAAGCTCAAGAAAGTAGATGAAAGGTGACAGAGGAATTCTGATCATGAACAGGTTTCAAAAAATTCGAAATAATCCCTATACCTTCTCCAAAATCCACTACAAAAGTTGTTTTCCAGCTTGCAACTCCTGGGCTGGTATTCTGCAAATATTAGGTCTAGTAATAATTAATGTCGTTTTCTAATACTTTTTAAAATCGAATTTATTTAAACAATACAACAAAATTGAATCAACAATATAGTTGCCGTTGTTTTCTATTACTTGTGCCCAATGCTCAGGAAGCATTTTATTTTATTTTATTTTATTATTATTTTTTAAAATATATTTTATTGATTTTGTACAGAGAGGAAGGGAGAGAGGTAGAGAGTCAGAAACATCGATGAGAGAGTCATCGATCAGTTGCCTCTTGCACACCCCCTCCTGGGGATATGCCCGCAACCAAGGTACATGCCCTTGACCGGAATCGAACCCGGGTCCCTTCAGTCCCCAAGCCGATGCTCTATCCATTGAGCTAAACCAGTCCCGGCTCAGGAAGCATTTTAATCCCTCTGTTGTAAAATTCTTGTGATTTTGATGCAAAAAATTCGGTCAATGCATTTTTGAGGCATTTTTCATTATTAAATTTTTTTCCAAGAAGAAAGTTTTGCAAAGAACAAAACAAATGGTAATCGGAAGGGGCAATATCAGGAGAATATGCAGGTTGAGGGAGAACTTCCCATTCCAACTGGTGCAGTTTTTCAGCAGTGATTCTTGCAGTATGCGGTCGTGCGTTATCGTGGTGAAGAATTACGCCCTTCCGATTAATCAGCGCGGGTTCTTTTTCTCTTAAAGCTTGGACTAACCTTTCCAATTGGGCACTATACACTGCACTTGTAATGGTTTGGTTAGATGGTAAAAGTTCATAATGAAGAATTCCTTTAAAATTCCACCAAACACATAACATCACTTTTTTCGCATGCAAGTCAGGTTTTGGCGT